GTCATTCGTCCGATGGACTCCATTACTATACTTCCTTAGCTTACTCTCGAAAGAAAGATTTAAACGTTTTTATCAGTCTTTGACTATGCAGAACTTTTGTAAATGTTTTCTACATCCAGGAATCGATAAAATTTAGAAATGTTGCCACTTCTTAGTAATCGTAGACATTTTTATAAAGTTTTAATTAATATGGCTAATATTTCAGTTGTCGAAGTAAATGTCACATCTGAAGTTTTGTTAGCCTGAGGATAGTTAGAAGTTGCCACTTAGTAGGGTTTTTATAAATGATTCTAAGGGCGTAATTTTCAAAAATCCCGCTTCGCTGAAATTATGCCTCATGATGACAGTTCTCACTTGTCATTTATGTCATTTGTAACCTGTCATTCTTTTTAAAGAACAGTATTTGACAAGAGAAGGCTGATTTTGGCAGATGACATACCGTTTAAAAAACTAGAGGGTGTGCGGGTGGGGCTACTATTTGGTAAGATAAGAGTGATTTTGGAAAATGACATATTCTCTAAGAAAATACAGTATAGGCAGGCGGGCCTAGTATTTGATAAGATAAGACTGATTTTGGTAAATGACATACCCTCTAAGAAAATAGAGGGTGTGTGGGGGGGTCTAGAGCTTGTTAAGATAAGAGTGATTTTAGCAAATGACATACACTCTAAGAAAATAGAGGGTGGATGGGCGGGGTTAGTACCTGCTAAAATAAGAGTGATTTTGGCAAATGACATATTCTCTAAGAAAATAGAGGGCGGGCGGCTTATCTTATCACGTACTAGCACAGCCCACCCACCCTCTCTTTCCTTAGAGGGTATCTCATCTGATAAAATCAGCCTTATCTTAGCAAGTACTAGCCCCGTCCACCCACCCTCTCTTTTCTTAGAAGGTATGTCATCTGCCAAAATCAGCCTTATCTTGGTAGGTAATTGCCCCGCCCACCCACCCTTTTTTTTCTTAGAGGGTATGTCATTGCCAAAATCAGCCTCGTAGTACTTGCTAAAATAATACCGATTTTTGCAGATGATATACCTTCTAAGAAAATAGAGGGTGGACGGGCGGGGTTAGTACCTGCTAATATAACAGTGATTTTGGCAAATCACATATCCTCTGACAAAAGACAGGGTGGTTGGGCCGGGTTAGTACCTGCTAAAATAAGAGTGATTTTGGCAAATGACATATTCTCTAAGAAAATAGAGGGCGGGCGGCTTATCTTATCAGGTAGTAGCCCCGCCCACCCACCCTCTCTTTTCTTAGAGGGTATGTCATCTGCCAAAATTAGTCTTATCTTAGTAGGTACTAGCCACGCCCACCCACCCTCTCTTTACTTAGAGGGTACGTCATTGCCAAAATCAGTCTCGTAGTACTTGCTAAAATGAGACCGATTTTTGCAGATGACATACCTTCCAAGAAAAGAGAGGGTGGGTGGGCGGGGTTAGTACCTACTAGTATAAGAGTGATTTTGACAAATCACATACCTTCTAAGAAAAGGGAGGGTGGGTAGGCGGGGTAAGTACCTGTTAAAATAAGAGTAATTTTGGCAAATGACATATTCTCTAAGAAAATAGAGGGCGGGCGGCTTATCTTAACAGGTACTAGCCCTGCCCACCCACCCTCTCTTTTCTTAGAAGGTATGTCATCTGCCAAAATTAGTCTTATCTTAGTAGGTACTAGCCCCGCCCACCCACCTTCTCTTTACTTAGAGGGTATGTCATTGCTAAAATCAGTCTGGTAGTACTTGCTAAAATGAGACCGATTTTTGCAGATGACATACCTTCTAAGAAAAGAGAGGGTGGGTGGGCGGGGTTAGTACCTGCTAAAATAAGAGGGATTTTGGCAAATGACATATTCTGTGAGAAAATAGAGGGCGGGCGGCTTATCTTAACAGGTAGGTACTAGCCCCGCCCACCCACCCTCTCTTTTCTTAGAGGATATGTCATTGCCAAAATCAGTCTCGTAGTACTTACTAAAATAAGACCGATTTTTGCAGATGACATACCTTCTAAGAAAAAAGAGGGTAGGTGGGCGGGGTTAGTACCTGCTAAAATAAGAGTGATTTTGGCAAATAACATATTCTCTAAGAAAATAGAGGGTGTGTGGGGGGGGGGGTCTACAACTTGTTAAGATAAGACTGATGAAATGACATACCCTCTAAGAAAATAGTGGGTGTGTGGGGGGGTCTATAACTTGTAAAGATAAGACTGATTTTAGCAAATGACATACCCTCTAAGAAAATAGACGGTGTGGGGGGGGGCTACTATTTGATAAGATAAGACTGATTTTTGGCAAATGACATATCCTCTAAGAAAATAAAGGGTGGATGGGGGGTCTAGAACTTGCTAAGACAAGACTGATTTTAGCAAATGACATAGCCTCCAAGAAAATTAAGGGTGGGCGGAGGTACTATTTGATAAAATGATAAGATAAGACTTATTTCGGTAAATGACATACCCTCTAAGCAAATAAAGGGTGGGCTTGGGGTCTAGAACTTGCTAAGATAAGACTGACCTTGGCAAATGACATAGGGCTACTCTTTGATAAGATGATAAGATAAGACTGATTTTGTCATACGACATACCCTCTAATAAAATAAAGGGTGGGCGGGCGGGGCTAGAATTTGATAAGAGAAGACTGGTTTTGGGAAATGATATACCCTCTAAGAAAATAGAGGCTGGGTGGAAGGGCTAGTACTTGCTAAAATAAGAGTGATTTTGGCAAATGACATATCCTCTTCGGTTGGGTCCTTGGTAGCGTTAACGTCTTTCTTTACTGTTCTTTTTATTCATTACTCCTGTTAACCATTCGGTGATCTTTTTCCATAGTTTTTCACAGTCCAAGTTTGCCAAAATCAATATTTTTTTTATTTTATCTGAATTTTTGTAGTTCTAGTTTCATTAAAAATACAGTATGAAAAAAATTGGTCAGCTTTTGATAATTGTTGAAAAGTACTGCGAAATATTAGTTTTTACTTTCTGATCGTAGTCTAGGGGAGTATTATAATAGGGTCCATTTGACGACTAGCTTGCAGCGGCATGATATATGTGTGGAAATAGGTTGATCAGCAACTAGAGGGACCTGGGTCCAGGTCAGTTTCAGCACGAAATATTTTACTCATTTCCACAGGCTATTTTTATGTTTTCTCGACGTTTCATGCTTCCCAGAACACAATTGGGTAAATCTACCATTTTCGTCTGTCTCTTGCCTATATCCTCTATTGGCGATTTTATTAGGCAGATAGTTTCCGGATTTACCGAACAGATAGTTATGAAATTTTACATGGATGTGTTTTAAAAATAGCGTGTGGTTAGTAACGGACCAACCAGATTTTATCTAGTCATCCTCATCAAAAATTTGATGACGTCATTTCAAAATTTTTAAACTAATGCATGCAGATTTTTAGAAAAAAGTCAAAATCGTTATACAAAATGTTACTTTACCTTAGAAACTACGAAACGGATTGCTATGAAATTTAGTCCACCTTTTAAATTTATCAAAATCATGATAAATCGTTAATTAGAATTCACTTCGTCAATCTTAATTTATTTTATTGATTAAATCAGATATAGTGTACCTACTTCGTTTTTACGAAATTTTGAATGTGCTGTATGTTAAACTCACTAAATAAAACTCCTTATATTTAAATAAAATTTTATAAACATTGAGCTCTATTATTTAGAATTGTTTAGACATTGTTCGAACAACAGAGTTCAAGTGATCATAAGATACACTGACCGACAAAAAAACCGGCCACCCTGAAAAATTTGGCAAATTTCGTTATTTTGTTAAATTAAATTTAATTCTGCGTTTATGTCTTCTTTTTTTGCTAGTTTATACATCATGTGTCAATAGTGATTAGTTCTTTAATAAAATAACTATCACTAGTTAAATTAATAATTTTTAAAGTTTGGTTTTGCGAAATGTTTCAGGGTGGCCGGTTTGTTTGCCGATCAGTGTATATATTTATGTAAAAACAAATTTGGAGTTTATCACTTCATTTCATGCCTCAAAGTGTAGATAATGTACGGAAAAATGACAGAAATACGTTAATTTTACGGGAGATTAGAGAAATAGAAAGTAATGTGAGAAATGAAAGAAAATCATGTAGAAATGTATATCTATGCATATTTTTATGAATTGTGATAAAGAAAAAAATGTTGTTCAGTTCCAAGTAAATGTAATTGCTTTTTAATGAATAAACAATTAAGTTTTATTTATTTTGCACTCAGTTCAGTTCAGTTCTGAGGAAAAATGCTATATTACAGTAGTTTTTTTTAATGTAAACAGAACTACCTTGGCAACAAAAATGTCACTTTGAAGTGCCAATGTCACAGAAAAAAATTGTTACGACTTGAGTTACGACAATTTAAATGTTTTTTCATTTTACGAAATGAAACAAATAAAAATAATATTTAGCTATTAAGCGTTAGTTTATATGGTTAAGTTTATCCCTTAAAATTATCTCTGGCTTTTATTAAATTAAAGGATGATGCAACACGATTACATGAAAACCAATTGATACACGAAATTACGTCTAAATTCTAAACATTTACTGAATTAATTTCAATACCACAAGGGATGAAGGGAGAATAAATAAGCATTATACAACAAGTCTTGTATAAAGTATTCACAACTTTTTAGGTCGCAGCAAGCCATCAAAATCTAGTAACTTGATTGGTAATCAACATTAACAGGCTAAAGTTTCTTGAGGAAGACTGTCACTCTTTGTGTCGATTTGAGTTGTCACCTACTAATTGTGTCAAAATCCACCATTATTATATAGTCTTTACCATTTCCATTGAAACACCACTTGTTGATCGTAAATTTGGCAGCGCTCATATTCAGACAATTTTCTAACTAAAAACCGTTCTCAATCAATCGAAAGCTATTACAAAATGCTAAATTTTTGAAAACAGAGATCATTGTTCAAATTTCAATTTGTCTGTTAAAAAACGTGATCCCTCAAGGCGAACTGGCACTAATAAACTTTAATTTTTTAGTTCCTAAACCGTGTGCAGACCACACCTGCAGAATGTTCTGTCCGCACGGATTCGCCCTCGACAACAACGGATGCCCCCTTTGTCGCTGCCGCGACCCCTGCGACGGCGTTAGGTGTCCAAATTCTCTCGAGTGTCACTTGGAAGATCTGGCTTGTGCGGACCCACCTTGCCCCCCCGTCCCGACATGTAAGCATTGTTTGATTACGCAACAGTAACCTTGTAAGGGACAAAGATGTTACACAAGTGAAAGTGTGTAACTTTATCTAACATTTTAAAGTGCATGAAGGTGTGTTTGACTCACGCCGATGGCATGGGAACATTCTGCTTGATTTTCAGTTCGTCTGCCTCTCCCTGTTTTAAAGTTCATGGATTTGTATTCTTCAAACATTACGCAATTCTTGCATTTTAGGTAAACGAGGCAGAAGCTTAGAAAATATTTGCCCGGTAGGTGATCCGTTAAGAATAAGCGATACCGTGAGGCCATTCTTGTGTGGGAATGACCCGGGAAAACCGAACTGTCCTCCTATGTACCAGTGTTTGGTGCAGAAAGGTAAGATGAAGTAAATTAGACGGATGTTTAAGAAAAAATGTACTTTTATGATCTGAATTAATGAACCTTGAGGAAAGGATTAGCCTAATTATTTAAATGTTGCATCACGTTCTAAATGCAGGGTTAAAGAGTTATGTTATTATATTATTATACAGGTTCTATAAAAAACGCATATTTCCTTAATGGGAGGAGAATCCTTGAAGATAAACTTTACGAACGTTAAAAAAGTGAGGACGGAAAGGAAAAATTGTTGAAAAAAAACACCAGTAAATCAGAGTGTGTTTTTGTATAAGAATATAGATTTTTCATACTCTTGTATCAAAAATGTTTTTGACAACCTCAATAAGTCAGTAACGTTTCCTTGGCTAACAACTGTTTGCTTTATTCCTTAAATTTCCTCTGCTCGAACAAGCTATTGACAACGAACACCAACTTTCCAGGAAACGACTACGGTGTTTGCTGCCCTGCATCTCTAAAAATCCAAAAAACTGGATCGTGCCCTTCGCAAATGCCCGAAAACTCCGCCTGTGGTCCTATGTGTACCCACGATCTCGAATGTCCTTCAATTCAGAAATGTTGTCAAACCGAACAATGCGGCTCATCTTGTTCGCATCCAAAGAATGTAACAGGTGCGTACAATCAGATCACATTTAACAGTTCCATTTTGTACCAACACTTTCTTTTTTGTACTTAAAGAATGCATTCACCAACGTGCCTTATCTGAAATCTTGACTATAAACGAGAGGGCTGGCAGAGGTTACGTCCCACAGTGTTCCTCAGACGGTCAATTTGAACCAAAACAATGCAGCCGCAACGGACTCGTTTGCTGGTGTGTGGACAGAATGGGCCGAAAAATCCGAGGGTCCATGGGACCTGCCGAGAGCGCAAATTGCTCCAGCAGCGACGGTAATAAATTGAGAAACCGGGGAGATGTAGACCGTGATTAGGTTTTTTTAGTTCGGATTCAGTCATCTGCACGTAGTCTTGATAAGCACGGTAAACAATGTGAGTTCTTGGAGTGCGCAGCCGTTTGCGAGTATGGGTTTAAACTGGACGAAGACGGCTGCCCGACTTGTAAATGCGACGATCCTTGCGATGGCTACATGTGTCCAGAAGACGAAGAATGTATAAATGTTAAAGAAGCGTCTTGTTCTGACTTTTTATGTCCTTCTCTTCCAGTTTGTAAGTAAAAATATATAATATATTTTTGAGATAACCTGTTGTTTAATTAAGGTCGCCCCAAAGCCATATATGCAAATCCATGTGACCAAGGAGCACCATTAACAGATGATATAAGTGGTGCACCTGTGGCATGTGCTCTTAGATCTGAAGATGGAACTTTATGTCCTTCGTCGTATGACTGTACTGCGGTTCCTGGATCAACTCAAGCAGTTTGTTGTTTGAAGGTGGAAGAGGAATCAGAAACCGAAAATTACAACCTAACGGAGACCAGACCACAAACGAGTAAGTTTATTGATACAATTAAAACACATCCACTGTATCTATCTTTTTTTACGTAGTGTGCGAATATTTGCATGACTTTTCTGAAAGTATGGAAGGTACTCGAGAAGGGATGAACTTGGCTCTTCCAAGTCCAGCGTGCGATTCAGAAGGCAACTATTTGGCCACACAATGTCACAACTCTGAATGTTGGTGCGTCGATCATTTCGGTACCGAGATCCCAAGAACCCGCGGCAAACGTAACGCAAGCAAAGACTGTAAAGAACTAAGAGAAACCATGGACTGCTTAGACCTAACGTGTCGCATGGGTTGCGAATACGGTTTTGTATTATCCGAAGAAACAGGTTGCCCTCAGTGCCAGTGCCGAGATCCTTGCAGTAGCATTACGTGTGCAGAAGACGAACAATGTCAGCTTGTCGAAGTAAGCTGCAAAGATCACTATTGTCCTCCAGTACCAGCATGCCTTCCAAAGAAAGTTGGTCAATGTCCTTACTTAGTACCTGCTACTTCGACATCGTGTGACTTCGAATGCAACTCTGATATGGCTTGCAACGGAACCATGAGGTGTTGTTCGAATGGTTGCGGAACACAATGTGTAGAACCCCTAATGATGACAGCCTGTCAACACCAAAACGCTCTATCGCAACACCAAGCACACGAATCTGGCGTACCAGCTGGAAAAGTTTATATTCCCCAGTGTAGAGAAGACGGTGACTACGAACCCAAGCAGTGTCACCCCGGTACCAGAGAATGTTGGTGCGTGGATCTTAGAGGTTTCGAAATTTCCCAAACAAGAACCACAGACACTTCAATCTTATGTGAAACACCACCGCAGTCAAACTGTCCGCTTTCCAAGTGTGAGACAGACTGCGAACATGGTTTCGAATTTGATGAAAATGGGTGCAGAACTTGCGACTGTATCAACCCCTGCAATAAGGTTTCATGTAGAGGCGAGGGAGAAATATGTAGGTTGGTTGCCGTGGAATGCATTAGCTGGCCTTGCCCTCCGGTACCAATGTGTTTGCCGAAAAAAGAAAATCCCTGTCAGAACGGAGAACCTTTAAAACTTGGTAACACCGAAGAACTTGTCATTTGTGGTCCTGACTATGAAAGTTGTCCATCTTCGCATAAATGTCAATTGAGCCCAGTCGGAGAGTATGCAGTTTGTTGTCCAAAACCAAGTAATTTGTAACATTATAATAACGTTTTATTTACATTAAAAGTGATTTTTCACAGGGGATGTATGTTTTGAACCTTTGGATAGAGGTGCTTGCGACGAAAACGATTATTCGAGAAATCTTACCAGATACTATTTTAATTCTCGTATTAACAAATGCGAGATATTCACGTACAGTGGGTGTAACGGAAATCACAACAACTTCCACTCTGAAGACATGTGCAATTTAGTCTGTCCAGGTAAACGTATTAAAAAAAAAAATAAAAAAATGTCTAATCGTGCAACAGTTTTAAGTCAATGTGAACGCTTGAGGGAGAAAAATCAACGTGCAGCCGAACGTTACAACAAACCTACTTTTATGCCACGTTGCGAGCCAAACTCAGGAGCGTGGCAAGCAGTACAATGTTTGGAACATGTGGGAGTATGCTGGTGTGTTACTCCTCAAGGGGAACCATTGAAAGGTACTCTTACTCGTGGAGCTGAACCCCAATGTAATTTCCGACAAGCCAGAAATCGAGCCAGTGACAGATCAGATTTTGTTAGTGATGCCGATTTAGGTAAGTCAATCAAACGTTGCAAAAACAAGTCACATTCATAATTGTACCTTAGTTCTAGAAGAGCTGATGATGCAAATTGGTTCCTTTGACGGTGAAGAAGAACCATCAGATTTAGACGAACTCGGAAGCGATAATGTTGAGGTTTCTGCGTCAACGCGTTGTGAAGCTTTAGGAGGGCAGTGTGACGAAAACGGTAAATTTTTACCAACGCAGTGTGAAGAAGATACCTGTTGGTGTGTAGACGAAGCTGGTAATCAGCTACTTCACACTAATACCTTCAAGAAAGGAGAAATCTCATGCAGTAAGTCCTTAAATCGAATTTTTATGTTTTCATACAATCCATTTTTGCAGTGAAAGTTCCTGTTGAAAGTGTGGAAGTTACCTTAGGCTTTCGTGGCGAATACGACGATGTTTCAGCGGTACCAGTAGTCAACCAGATTACTAAAATTGTCAAGAATATGAACGGGATAATCAGCAGTCAAGGATTTAAAACAGAAAGCAGTTCGGATGCTTTATATATTAAATTTTCGTTAATCGGTAGCAACAAAGTTGACGTTGCTTACCAGCTGGAACAAATGGTTATGCAGCAACAATTACCCGGTCTCACAGCCGATATTACCAGATCTAGAATTACGCATAAACTTTTGGCTCAAGAATCGACTTTGACTGATCAAATTGTAGCACTGGAACATAGAGAAATTGTGTCCCAGTCTCCGGTCTCTGTAGTGGCTCCCTATCACACTGCGTTAATAGTAATCGCTGCAGCGTCAGCCTTTGTTATTTGTGTTTTGCTTCTTTTGGTTATTTTGTACAGGCGAAAAATGAATAGCTTGAACAACAACAAAGTTATCGAAGACAACAGATTTCTGTCAAACAGCAGACCAATTTACATCGAACTTCCTAACGAGAAAATGAATACGATACATTCTGAATCAAAAATGACCGGAAACACATAGTTTGTATATTAGTATGCCATTTGAATAAAACTCTTAAGTGTTCGCAGATTCGTACACATACATTTTGTGATTATTTTGTATTTTTTAGTATTAAAGGTTACTTTAATATGTCTTGCTATTATTTTTGGGTTTATTTCACTCGACTCTGAGCTTTAACAGTAACAAATTTCAGTATTCTTATACAAAAAAATTTATTTATTATAATATTTATTAAATCTTTTAGTAAAACATTTCCTTGTAAATATTAATTTAAGTTATTTGATAAGTCTACCAATAAAAAATTAGGAAAATTATTGACTTTTAATATCTTCTAATACTTTGACGTGAGAATTTGCATACCCATATTTATAGTATGCCAAAAATGGGAAATGTCGCATCAACCAAAACGTCCTGTACTGAGTGTAATTATGGTACAGTTTGAATATCGCAAACTGCAGACTCCATATTGTAAAGATCAGTATTTTATAGAATATTCTCTGTAATAAATTTAGCTCTATTAAAAGTGCATTAACTGAGGAATTATTATTTTCTGGCATTTGCAATAATCTGTAAGCTAAATTCAAATAAAGTTTTGCATTTAACGTCGGATTCATAGCCCACATGCCGTCAGAAAGATACGAAGCCATTTGCAAAAATTCTTCATCCTTTTTTTCGAAAAGTGGCTTAAAAACCGTGCTCGCTAAAACTTTACAGATCTCGACTGTCTCGTCGAGAGAATCTCTGCATATATTAAATCTGCAAAAGTCACACGTTTGTCAAAAAGAAAAAACTGTAAGATAAGTTCCTACCTATCCTCTATACCCATCACAAACCCTACAACTCTCCAAACATGCACAAACGCTCGTAAATCTTCGTCCTTCACATTGTATAGACCAACTTTCTCACGTCTGGCTAGTGCATATCCCATGAATCCAAACTGAGTAAAAGCCATATCTGTTTGACTGATTCTTGCAAAACCAGCAGAATGACAGCGTTTGCTTGCGATGTTGTGTTTGTTCCTGACTTCCGCTATTGACTGCCACAACCTAAAATTTTACTTTCTGATTTTGTGAATGTGCATGGTGTCGTTTTACTTTGAGCCAGGATTAAAATCACTTCGATACCAAATGACCATGTGAAACAATGTAGCTAAATATCTTCTATAAGCTGTCAGTGGTGATCCAGACATCTTCGTATGTACCAACACTCTTAAAATAGTTGGCACTGCGAGAATTGTTAGTAGACCCAAAAATTTACCATACAGAAGCGAAAAAATGTTGTCAGTGAAGAATTTTTGACCCCTGGAAAACATAACATTAATTTACATTTTTGGCCCATGTTTTTGACTATTAACAGATTTTAATTTTTTTTACATATACATATTAAAAATCAGGTTTTCATTTACTATACTTTCAATCATTTAACATATAAAAAGTTGTACAGTAACAAAGAAGACGCTAGTAAATAATTTAGTTAAAGAATATTACTGAAGCACAAGCAATGCTTCACAGGCATGTTATTTGCCAAAATCGGTTTTATTTTAGCAGGTAGTAGCCCCACCCACACCCACCCTCTGTTTTCTTGGAAGATAATTCATTTGCCAAAATGAGTTTTCACTCATTAGGTACTAGGCCCGCCCACCCACCCTCTCTTGTTTTAAAGAGTATGTCATTTGCCAAAATGAGGTTTATCTTAGCACGTAGGTATTGATGACTAACTTTTACAAAAAATGATCAAAATTTGGAAACATTACGAGCTTAATTGTATACAGAAACCATATTGTGGTGTTCCGATTTAAAATTTAAATTTCGCACCTTTAAGAATATCAGAAGATTAAACCATACGGAGTTTCAACGAGACCTAGGCACTGGATCAAATTTGCAGCCACCTGACAACATGTTATACCAGCAACAGCATTTCAATCACCTGATGCTATATTTCTGGGGTGAAGAGCAAAGCAAGCAAGAGTAGACGGGTTCATTTTTATGCTGGAGAAGTTCGATGCACGATCGCCAAAGCAGGTGTTTAATATTGCCGTATAAGATTGTGGCGCGGAATCATACTTGAAAAATTTGAATTTGAAAAAAAAATGCAAACAAAAAAATCGTTAAACATAGGCAACCATGTGCACGTTAGCGCTTAGGGGTAGTTGGTAGTTCTGCTTGCTAGTTAGAGGGCGGTAGCAGTAGATAGCGGCATGGAAAGCATGGTGAAAGCGTCAGTCTTAGTGTGTTAGTGTGGTGAATAGGTTAAATTAGTGGGTTTTGTAATTAATAAAAGGCAGGAATGATGGCGCAATTTTCCCCAATTCGCGCAGCTAATTTTTGCGGCTTTTTAAGCGGAAAAAGTGTTAATTTTCGACTGACGCTACTGTAAATTTGTTTTATTGTTTGTTAATTCACCGATCAAGTTAGGATTTTAATCGTTAACTGGTTCTAACACAATTTAACAGACATTGGATTTGCTTAGACAGACATTTACTAGGAGATTTCATGAAATTCACTTAGTCAGGATAACACCCTTTGTTTACAAGTTATGAATAAGTTTTTGGATGCTAATACGTAAGTGTTACATTATAACACTTCTTAATTCTTCATACAAGATTGCTAATAGTTCATTAACGGTAGATAAATTAACGAAATCCATCATTCGTGAACTGGCGGGGGTGTGACGGGCTTGGGAGATTTTCAAAATTAACTTTTGTTAATTTATTATATATAAAATTGTAAAACTCTTGTCGTGGACCTTGTGCCCGACATATAGTGAAAATATTATTTATTTGTTCGTAGGCTGGTTCGTGATGATGGTAACACATTCTAGTGACTGGACAAAGGGACTACTTCAAGTATATGCATTTTGCTTAAATGAATAATTATATTTAATTTAGAAATGAGTATGTACAAAAGAGATTTAGTCATATGAGAATAATTTGGTATAACAATAAATTGTAGTGTAGTTTAATATGCAAATATAATTATCAGAAAATGAACTTCAGTATTAAAACATTTTTAAATAAATTCAAGAAAACCTTATAAATTTGAAACTAAATCTTTGAAAGCATAATAAAACAAACATTTAAAAAAATCTAAAACAAAAATATAACAAAACTCAAAATTGGTACCATAACTCAAAATTTGGTAACAACTCAAAAATTTGGTAACAACTCAAACATTTGGTAAGGAACATTATAGTAGTTGCGTGGTCAGCGTTCATCAAACAATATAACTGTTTAACTAATAATTTCAATGCAAATTAATCTTTAAAAATAGATATAAATCTCAAAACGTTATCCAATCGAGAATACAAAGGGCGATTTATCATCAAAATTAAATTGAACTTTAAAAATATTAATAAAAACAAAACTTTGAACTTTTTATGAAATCGTGCACATTTTTGGAGATGTCAACACTTACCCCCTTGTGTCACAACACAAACACACACTAACAGGCAACTGGCTAGAGGACTCTGGTCTTTTTTGGATCTTTCGATCTTTTATAAGTAAAGACCCCTCCAAAGGAGTTGTTTTCGCAAAATTGTTTACAAGTTACCAGTTTATTTGGGGAGTCGTAAAAGTATTTGTGTTTCCACCAAATTAGGCTTAATTAATTGTGATATGAAGATTTTTAGTGGCAAAATGTGCTTTTTGTTAAAATTAACAAATTTAAACCATGAAATTATAAAACTGGACAAAGACATCGTGTCCAGCCAAACGGCGCCAATATTTAACTGTGAAATTATAAACATTGATTAGAATGGTGTGAAATCATAAAATCCAAGTTTCACAAGGACAACCTTGATTTTTACGACAATGACGATTGTTCTGATTCATACCAACATCTCCAAAAATAAGTAAATTTATCGCCCGTTACAGGGGGTTAAAATAATTTCTTCCCTTAGGCAGTTATCGTCGTTATTATTATCGTTATCGTCATTACATCACCGAGGCATTTCCTCGCAACGTTAAAGATTGATTACATCACCGAGGCATTTCCTTGCAACGCTAAAAATTACATCACCGAGACGCTTATTCCTCGCAACGCTGACTGGATATTTTTGTGTTTATTTATTATGTGTTTTATTGGGGTAACCAGTTCTCGATAACCTCTCAAAGTTAATTATTTTAAGTAACCAATCACTTGGATCAAGACATAATTAACTTTGCAATTTTTAACCTCATACAATATTTCTCTATCTCACAATTTTAACTTTAGTAATTTTCTTGATTGTATAATTTAAATTGAACGTAAACTTTCATGGTCTACAGTTTGAACCTCACGTAATATTTTATCTGCACACGTTTATTTCACACCAGATCTTTTGTTTTTATAAATCTCTGCTAGTTTTTGTTTTGATGAATGTTTCCATGGTATAAATTATCTGATGTTTAATTTCAATCTCACATAAGAATTATTTGTTGTTTAAAATTTCACAAGATTGTATGGCGAATTTAAATGTTGTTTATTGCTCTTTTTGAAACTTTAACACTTATTCAGTTGTCGTTAATATCAGACCCATAGAAATTGAACATTTATAATGGAATTGAGGTTAAATAACACAGAAAAACGTGACAGAAGCGGAGTGCGCGGTTCCTAGTGGAGCTGACGAGATTTAGTGCGCCATCTGCACAAACGATGCAGTTTTGAATAGAATTCAGAGACGGTCGCGATGACGTAACCCTGTCGGCTTCCGTACTTAGCTGGGACCCAACTGCCTTAATTTTAAATTTGCCGCCACACGTCTGTAATAACTTGTGTATTTGCATCCAGTTACTTTAATTTAGATTTTGCTTTGTTTTTATTAAATTTGTGATATTTGCATTGATTCAGAACGTTTGATTTGATTTCATTCCATGTCACTGTAAGTTTTTTTTTTGGATCTGAAAAGCGATTGCGATTCGGTCCCCATTGGGCACGTCACGATTGACCCTCGCACGCAGCTTTTTTTTTACTTTTTTTTTTGTCTGTGGAGGAATAAATAATTTTGCGTCCTCCATAAATTTTATGTTTTATTTAGCGGTACTTTTCCAACCTTGGAGTCCACCATTTGCATCTGAACTCATCCCGCAATTTTTCAAAAACACAACGTAGAATAAATAAATACCATACAAAATTTGAAAACAATCGACTCAGTGTAGGTTCGGAGATTATCTTTCAAAGAAAAATCGACACAGAGCACAGACAACAGACAGACAGATTGAAACAGGAGATTTATTTTTTTGTACTCTAGGGGTCAAGAAACATCGAGAAAACATGAAAATGAGTGGTGTTCTAGGTTGAACTTTCTCCCAAAAAGCAGTAAAAACGCAATTTCTGACTGATTTGATAAATTATTTCGAAGAATTAACAATGAATGTTTTCTAATTACTGTTAATGTTCTATAGATCATTCAAATTATACTTTTATACTGACCTTTTGTACAATGTTTCATCATAGAACTGTGGTAAGTCCGTGTTTTCCTTAAACGCTGTAGCAGTCTCATCACAAGGATTTTTCGTTCCTTCTTCTAACAAGCAGCGAACAAAGGCTTCAGCAGAGAATTCAATTTTTTGTGAACTGTTTTTATCCATGGTACTCAAGAGAGACTGTCGGAAGTGGTCCGTTTCTTTACATCATTATGTAGCCTATCACCAAACCAGTTGTAAAAAAGACCGTTGCAAAAAACACACCTTCATGACAAAAAAAAAATTTGAAGGTTAATTAAGTTTCAGTTCACAAACAAACTCTTTAAACAAATTTAGGTAGTTAATTTTAACCTGCTTCTACTTATCGTAAGGTATATCGATTTGAAGCTTTGCACGGATATTTAATTTGGATGATAACATTGATAACACAATAATTTGGTACTATCAAGCAGTGAGAGTCCACTTTACTCTAAATTTTGCCATATGTCACAAAATTTCAGCACAGGCGTAATTGTACTCTTGACAGTGTGACAAAAGTCGTGTGTGACATTTACCGTTAAAAGCGTGTTTTTTAGTTTTTTTTATCTATAATTATTACTATATGCAGATTTACAGTGTTCCTAAAAACAAAATTACATTTTAAAAATAAATTTCAAATTCTCTGGTTGAAGTTGTCAAATTTGTGACGTCATCAATATATTTGATGAATAAAGTCGTGGAATTACCCCAAGTCAAATTTTTTCTTTTTGTATCTTATGCACTTTGTGTAACGTAAAAAATCACCAAATTTTGAATAGGTCGTAGAGTCTTATCTGAAATTTTAAAATTTGTCATTTATTTTGTCCTAGTCAAAAATGAAGCGATTTAACGACCAAGCAAAACAAATAATTTTAAATGTGTTAGACGATTTTGATAGAAATCAAGATGTTTTGAAATTTAATAAAAAAAGGAAGGCAGAACTGGCCGCAGAAATGTTGACAATTTCGGAAACATATATCTACAGGCTACAAAAAAGTCCAGGTTTAAGCCGCTTTGAATTAAAAAAAAAATGTCTTCTAGAATTAGTCACATAAAGACAAAAGTGAATCTTGCAGTTTTAATGTCAATCCGGGAGATTATCTATAAAATGGTTGCTTCTAAAGAATACATTACTATTAAGTTGCTGTACGATCGAGTAATGGAAGAGATTCCCGATTTTAACGTTGGTCCTAGATCGTTATTATTGAAGACCCCCCACTGACCTGGAAATGACCGGCATTCAGGCAAGACTTCTATCATTACTGGTATTAAGACCAAGTAATGATATGCATTGATTAGATTAACAAAATAACTTTCGAGATTCTAGAATTACAGCATACAAATTAGTCTGCTATTATTCTCTAATCTCACCCCATCCCCAAAAGTCTAGCGTAACTACCGATCATTTATCCGCGCATCACTTGGAAAGTGACATACACTACTCTGACCTACTGGTGCTAATCTAATCTGACTGACATGATCAGACTCTTCGAGAAACTTACGAACAATATGACATGTTCCTAACAAGACAGCTTTTTGAATTTTGATAATTATTGAATCATTCAAATGCAAAGACTTTAAATTCTCAACTAAGCTATTTGGGACTACACCTACATTAGAGATAACTAAGGGTAGAATTGAAATTTTTTTAAGATTCAACATGGATTTCATTTCTATCGATAATTGTAGATATTTTGAAATGTTGGTGTGGTATGTTTGAATAATGTTGCTTGTGTTAGGAATAGCAATGTCAATGAGAATGGCTTCGTTCGTGTGTTTTTTGATAAGTATGATGTCTGGTCTGTTAGCTGTAATGTTTAAGTCTGTAAGTATTGTGCGATCCCAGTATAATTTGTATTTGTTATTTTCAAGGAACGGAGATGGAATGTAAGTGTAATAGGGTGTCGTACCTTCGATTAAGTTCATAAGTGTTACTAATTCTTTGTGAATGATTTTGGCTGGGTTGTCGTGTCTAACTTTGTAGTCAGTTTGTGCCAGGATGCTACAAGAGGAGATTATGTGCTGGATCGTTTCAGGTTTTGCTTTGCAGAGGCGACAGCCGTCGTTTCTTATATTCGGATCTTTGATGATGTATTTTCTGTAATTCTTGGTATTGATTACTTGGTCTTGAATAGCAAACACAAATCCTTCAGTTTCGGCATATAAACTTGATTTTTTTTAACCAAATCAATGACATCTTCTTGTTGACATGAGTTTCTTCTAAGTCTTTGTAGAATTTTCCATGTAGTTGTTTTTGTTTTATCCCACTTATTATTTTGTCTATTGTGTGGGGGTTGTGGATTTCTTCAGTTTTCGACAGATTTAAGAGTGTGTGGTTCAAATCTGCTCTTGTGATGGTGCGAAACATTTAATTTCTTTCTGCTCGTTTCAAGAAGTACTTCTTCAGATCTGAGATTTGTCTCTGATATAAGTTTTCTAGGTTCTGGAAACCCCTTCCTCTATTCTGTCTTGGTAATGAGAATCTTTCAATCGACGATTTTGGATGATGCCTTCTATACTGTGTGAAGATTTTCCTTCTTGCGGTGTTTAAATTTTCAAGATCAGTTTTGGACCATTTAATGACTCCAAAAGAATATGTTAGCAGTGGAACGCAGAGTGTATTTACTGCTTTCATTAAATTTTTTCCATTTAACTGTGTCTTCAATATTAATTTTAATCTCGTTAGGTATTGATCTTTCAACTGTGTTTTCGTTTTGGTATGATTGATGTGGGAGGATTGACATAAACCCAGGTATTTGTATGCATCGTTTCATTCTTGGGCTTCGATTATTTCCTTATTCTGGGTTATATGTGGTACTTGGTGTTGGACGCCTTTTCTGATTGCTTGGGTCTTACATTTCTCAATACCAAAACACACCAATATCACCGAAAAACTGTTCAGTCCGATTTAACAGGTTTGTTAACTGATTTTGTGTACTTGCATATATTTTTATGTCATCCATATACAGCAAGTAACTTATTCTGTTTTCTCTTTGTTTGTTAATTCTTATATTGAACCCATAATTGCAGCTGTTCAGGATATCGGAGAGGGGATTTATTGCTAAGCAGAACCATAATGGGCTAAGAGAATCGCCTTGAAAAATTCCTCTTCTGATCATTACTGGATCTGACTGAATTGTTTGTTCATTTAAGGTTATTTGGAGGGTGGTCTTCCAAAATTCCATGGAACATTTGAGAAAAGTGCAGATTTTAGTATCAATTTTGTATAATTCCAGAATTGTGCATAGCCAGGAATGAGGGACAGAATCGTAAGCTTTCTTATAATCAATAAAAGCAGTATATATGTTTCGGTTTTCTTTTCTAGCTTGTTCACAGATGAGGGAATCTATGTTTAATTGCTCTTTGCAACCAAAGGATCCTTTAATACATCCTTTCTGTTCTTCATTAATGATGTCAGAGTTAAAACAGTGTTGATAGATTTTTTGTGTAATGCATGAGGTTAATATTTTATAGATTGTCGGTAAACATGTGATAGGTCTGTATTTAAATGGATTTTTTGTGTCGTTATCTTTAGGTTTTAGGTATGTTACACCATGACATAAGAATGTTGGAAAGGAGGATGGGTCAAGAAGGAACTGATTTAAGTGATGTAGTAAATGAATATGTACACAATTTAATTTTTTTATTCAAAAATTATGGATTTTGTCTGGTCCTGGTGATTTCCAGTTGTGCTGATGGTATTTATTAATTCGGCAAGTGTTATCTGATGATCATTCATTGGTGTAACTGTGGATAGTTTATGGGATATATGAGGAATCCATTTGGCAGATTGGTTAAATTCAAATTCTTTAGACCAAAGTTTTGACCAAAATGTTGTTACATCCTGTGAACTTGGAAGTTCACCGGATAATTGAGTTTTGTTTGAATTAGTTAAATGTTGATAGAATAGTTTTTCGTTGTTTAAAAATTTAGTGTTATGAATTTTTCTGAAATGTGTTTGTATCTTTTAAGTCTTTTGCTATATAAGGAAAGCTTTTGTAATAGGGTATCTTTAATTTGGGATAGTGTTGTGTTGTACTAATCGTAATCAGTTTGATGAAAATTATTGTTAGGTACCAAAAAATTACATCGCATTCTAAATGTTTGTGACTAGGGGCATTTCCACAACTATAACAATTTTTTGTGCATACTAACAATATTTTTTTGATTGAAATGACACCTAACGTCATTTCCAAAAAATTTCAGGCACGAAAGTCATATTCCGATTGCTTTTCATTTATCTATATGAACCTGATTTGCTCATCTCGGGGAAACCGTACATATTTTAAAACTGATAATATTTGAACACCCCAAATTTAATACAATTTTATAAATAATGATTACATTTTAGGAATAAATGTGATCTTGATTGCGTTAAATTTATGTTAAAATGTGTGAGGTGAACCCAAACAAAATATGTTCACTATTGTTCACAAATGAAAATTGTACCACTATTACTAAACCCTCGTATTAAATTAACTATTTTATTCAGAAACAAAATATACAGCACACTGGTACTATGAAGCAACAATATGAAGCCACACGTACGCGGTACTAATTCACTTAACGTTAGAAGATGCAAATGTATACGTGAAAAGAGCAAAATCTAATATAAAATGTTACTTACTGTTAGCCACAATGACGGAAACCGAAGTTTACTCTCTATAAATATTATTACCAACTGAAAATTAACTACACAATAATAAACTTGGGAAAAACACTATTCTTGTCTCGCGCACAACTTTCTTTAGCTAGAGAAAAATAATGTTTATAGCATGTCTTCATCGCGGTGGAAGAAAAGTGAAAGTAGGTTCTTTTTAGTCTTGGTTTATTTACACGAGAAAACTGATTAAATATGTTATACTGTAGTTTAGTTGGCGCTCGCAAGACTGGAAAGGAAAGGAGTCTCGTCGCAAAAACATCCTTTATAAAAATTAACAGAATATTTTAGAGCAAGGAAGATGTGTGATGCATAGACGAATCGGGTAATGGAGTAATATTTTGTAATAGTATTTTTTGCGATCGTGACTGCATAACTTCACGCACATAGAGAATACAAATGATTATAAAATGAAAACGATGATTACTATTCATTTATTAATAGATATAACGAAAGTACATTAATTTAAATAGTAGTATTTAGGAAGCAATTTGAAATTTCAACCGTACAGTTTTTAATGCTAAAATAAAGTTTCTTCGTGGCCTTCAACTACATTAGTGGATTTCCATCCTATATTTACTCTTCTATAATGCAAATGATCGACTTCCGCAAAAACAGTGACCTTTGTATGAACAACGATTAAAGAAAAAAGTCATACCAAAGTTGTAAGGCTCTTTGAATAGCATACATTAAAATTATTTTCAAGTGTACTATTTTCGAGGCATAGCACACACTATTTTTTTTTTTTTTTTTAATAGAATACCTTATATATTATTTGCCAAATGACATTTGCCGCTCGTTAAAAAATTCTGAAAACTTAGTCTTAATACAGAAGTTTGTAGATTTGCATTAAAAAAATCAAATTTAAATTCGTTTCGAAATTTTGACTTGTAAATGACCAAGCTGCATTTTATTCTCCTTACACATTCGTAACATAATTGGGGAAGCATTCAAATCTCTTGGACTTATCATCAGGTCTATAGTGCGTTTACCGAACAGATGGAGTGATCACGTGTGCGTCACGTACCTACAAAGTAAGCGTCCAAAACTGGAATAACTTTGCGGTGTCACATCGGACTTTCGAAAATAAACTATGGGTATAAAGTTACGAAGAGGTCTATCAGAATATATAAAAATGTGTAGAGTATTCCATTTTGACAAAACTAAATTGTGTGTTAACAATAGAACACTCTGTTTAGTTGGAAATAATTTCGGTATAATTGTGGTTTCAAATCCCGACGAACCCCATCTCAAGGGACGCACGCTTAGTGACTGACTCTGCATATACAGGGTGAGTATTATAATAACGGGATCATGACCAAATTTCAATGCAGCACAAAATACATAAGTACCTCATATATAACTCTTTTTATATATTATTTTTCTAAAATATACAAACATAGTTACCTAGTAGTTAATTTTAACTTTCGCAATAATTCTATTTGTCAATTTTGAGCTCCGATAAGTTTTTAGTCTTCGCGATAAAATGAGAATTGTGAAGATTTTTCTTTTAAGGCGCTAAACGTTTATTTAACTTCTTAGAATACCTAAATTCGCTAGATTTTTTCGTTCCGTGCTTTTAAAAAGTAGCCTGTATAAATGTTAGTCATTTTTCCTTTTAATTTTAATTAATTCTGTATCACTTTTATTGCTACACAAGATGAAATTCAAAAAATCTTCTAACAAGAATATGCTATGGACATGCATACCTCTTTTGTACCATTGACAAATCCTGTTATTTGCTGATGCTTGCCCATAAATACTTTTTTTACTTGTATGTTGTGTTTAATACATTTTGCAATACTTTTGACTGGTTTTGTTTCAGAGGAGCCTTCTCGGTAACATACAATTCTTTTGTCAAATTTAGTCCATCTATTAATCATCGAGCTGTAACTATCAGTTACAATAAGTGAATATCACTGACTAATGTTTTTTTAACGACTTTAAAATAATAGCGAACACTGATTCACATTGTACACCTAATGACAGTGATTTTTTCTGTCTAATACGTACTTGCGGCTTAAAAAATAATACAAACCTACATAACTATTCTCAAAAAACCGTAAAGTTCCCTAACTTCTGAAGCATAACAAATATCTCAAGCTACTACCTTAAAGATAACTCAGTAGGATTCCAGGCAGGAGATTTGGTATCGGTTTATAACCCCCGGTCGTTGCCCAAAATTGTCACCAGACTGGGAAGGTCCATATCCTATATCGTGACGAGGGTCAACGATGTCCTTTACCGGATTTGACTGTGGCAGAAGACGAAAATGAAGACAGTTCACTTAGATTGACTTATAAAGTACAACAGTGACACCGTTGACGTTTCTGAGCGGGACGATGGCCTCTGGGTTTTCTGGTATCTATGTACGGCGATGAGCGGTGGTGACTCATCACCGGTGACAGCGGCGTTCAAATAGAGAAAAACTTGAATGTGGAGACGGAAGTCTAGATGGCAGACTCCAGAACAACCCCGAAATCGGCAACCACGAACCCTATAGAAGTCTATAAGAACGTACGACAGTTTAAATAGAGACCGCTGTCGGGAACGGGCAGTCGATTCAGTCAAGTAGAGAATAGAGTCTAGAGAAATCCATTCCTGTCGAATCGGAATTATTCTGTACATAGCGCTGTATAGTTAGTCGTGTAAATCAATATCACTGAGAAATAAATTGTTGAGTCTTACCCACGCCGATTTTAAAACCCGTAAATCGTAACAATAATATACTTATTTGTTTATCCCCACAAAAATATATACGTAATCAATAACGAATAAGTCCTATCTAAAATGTGCAAAATATCATGAGTCTATACTTGTGATTTATCATTACATTCATATTTTTTGGAATTACTTAAACTGGATGACTGAAAAAATTATTTTTTGGAAAAAAAATCAAAACTTTAACAATATTTTGCAATTTAATTTTGAAACTGCAAAACCGAATGCTCTAAAATCTTGTAAATATGTTAAGGTTATCGTAATCTTGGTAAACCGTTAACCATTCGTTTAAAGCCTCCCAAAAAAATTGATGACGTTATCTCAAAATTTTGCCGAATAAATCTTTTCTAAAATATGCAAAATAGTATGACTGTATACTCCTGATTTATCAACACACTCAGAGTTTTTTAGAATCATAAGTGATTAGCTTCCCAAAAAAATTGATGACGTTATCTCAAAATTTTGCCGAATAAATATTTTCTAAAATATGCAAAATAGTATGACTGTATACTCCTGATTTATCAACACACTCAGAGTTTTTTAGAATCACAAGTGATTAGGGTGATTAAAAAAATTATTGAATGAGTCAATATATTTTATTGATTACGCAGGTTGAAGAACTTGTTAGTGCTCAGCTACAAAAACAACCTTTGAGTAACTTGGAATGAAATCAAACTAAACGTACTGAAACAATGCAAATATTTAAATATCACAAATTTAATGAAAACAATTAAAAATCTGAAATAAAGTAACTGGATACAAATACACAAGTTATTACGAGCGTGTGTCGGCAAATTTAAAATTATGGTAGTCAACAAGAGAACAAAATTTTAATAAACAAACTATACATCGGCAGTGGCACCAGAGAGCTTTAGAGTGTTGCGAGAGAACTATCTCAATTTCATTCTAGAACACAACAAAAATACCCATGGGGGGGGGTGTTGTAGCACGAGCGGAGTTTGGGGCTCCTAGTCGTGGCTGTTCTCCTACCCACGACGGTGATTCTATCTATTGCAAGCACTGCCGCTAAGCACGAAGAAACGTGCCTAGAGGAGCAGGTCGTTACGGCCGCAAACTCGCAGTTGGGTCCTGCTATGGAGTAGAAGCCGACAGCGTTACGTCATCTCGACCACCCCTGACTTCTATTCTAGCCTGCATCCTTTGTGCAGATGGTGCTGTATATCCCGCTAGTCTGACTAGGAACCGCGCCCTCCGCTTCTGCCACGTATTTCGGTATTATTTACCTCAATTCCATTTTAAATGTTCAACTTCTACGACTCTGATATTAACGACAATTGAACAAGTGTTAAAGTTTCAAAAAGAGCAATAAAATTAATCCCTCAGCTCCTCAGTCCACAATATTCTGAATTCTGCCGCCTTTCTACCGTTTTTTCCACAGTGGCGCAACCTTAGATTATTTAACTGCCGTAAATGAACTATTAGCAATCTTGTGTAAAGAATTAAGAAGTGGTATACTATAATGTAGTAGTGTAATATAATGTAACTTAAGTATTAACATCCATTCATAATTTGGTAAACAAAAAAAATCTGCTATACTTCATTTGTTATAATTTTTCCAGGATATCGTAAAACTCATTCTCTCTTTTTTCCACCACCGGTACTTCGGGTTATGCTGTGAGAAACAAGAACAACAAAACGGTATGTCATTTTAATTTAAGCAGATCTGCGAGAGAGAACACATGTCGCAGTGAAACCCAAATTTGACAGAGGTTCTCAGAAAATTATGTTTTGTTGTAGCCAAAATACAAAATCGAATAAACAGTTTCCACCTTCCACTTGCACAATATTAATGCGTTTTCCCATTAGTAAGGTATTCTGAAAATTAAACATAAGGCTAACTTAAAATTTACATTTCATCTGTTTCATTAAACATCTCCTTTTCAGTTCAACAAAACAGTACTTTTTGTTTGAGAACTTCTGCTTTGTACACACCTTCCGGTAGATCTTTAGGACCGCCCCTAAAATGCTAGGCAATACGTATCATCTCAACCGCAATGAGAGAAAGTGAAACAAAAATAGTAACGTTTGAGAAATATTATTTGTTTCGGTTTTACAAGACTATGGAATTCTTATAACAAATAGACTTTAGCAAATACTTTATCGGAATAATCTCTGACGGTTAGGCTTGTGTTAGAACCAGTTAACGATTAAAATCCTAACATGAACTGTGAATTTACAAACAATGAATCAAAAAAACGCAAAAATTAGCTCCGCACATTGAGGAAACTGTCGTGTCGTCGTCGTTACGATTAATTGTCGTTAAACAAAGTCTTTCTCCCTTTTATTAACTACCAAGCCAACTAACTTAATCTAGCTAACTTACTACCACGTGGTTTTCATTCACACCACACAACACACAGTGAAACCTACCTCCCTACCAAACAGCCATCTTCTACCAAGCCGCCCTCTTCTAACAACCCTCTAATTAAAATTCCAAGCAGAACTACCCACTATCCAAAAAGCGTTAACGTGCACATGGTTGCCTATTTTTGATTGAATTTTTTTTTTCAAATTCAAATTATTCAAATGTGATTTCGTGCCGCTGTTAATTTTTTTATTCAAATTCGGTCACCACAATATCAAATGAAATTCCAATGCCAACCACGAACTTCCCTAACCACTGAAGTACAATCCAACATATTCTGCTTCTTTGAAGAAAATATTACATCATACTGGATTTATTTTCTTATTTTGGCGAAGTCAATTCTGAGAATTAGAATTTCGAGTGCTTAGAATGTTAAAAATCCACACATTTTTGTTGAGGCGACTTTCCACCCATTTAAGTTGAGCGTGTGGGCAGCGGTTTCACGCCTCAGACTGGTTGGACCAATATTTTTCATTATGTCATTAGTGCTGTGAGGCATCAAAAACAACTGTTGAAGCCATTTATTAATCAATTACGTGATAAAAAATTAGAATTTTGTTATTTCCAGCAATACTAATACTCCCCGCACAAGTTGTATTTGCAACATTGTTTTTTATAACCAAATGATCAACAGAGGTTTACAACCTGCGTGGCCTGCATGGCGTCTTGATTTAACGCCACTTGATTTTTCTTTATTTAATTACTTAAAAAAAAATAGGTTTCTCAAAAAAGCATACCTAATTTGGATGGACTGGTGGAAGAACTGTTGGAAGAATAGTGATCGACAAATACATTGATTGTTAATTTTTCTCCACCTGGAGATCCGTGTCTCCGACTTTAGAGCAACCCTGGTGCTCCCTCCCCGGAGAGGGAGCTGGCGCCCGAGCACCGCCGCTCCCGACCGAAGGCGCCATCTCGGTTTTTACGTTTTTTACATACAAGGGATAAATAAAAACTGGAAAATAAGTACAAAATAAAGTCACCTACTTCAGAGCTGTTTCACATAGTAAACTTCTTCTTTGTACAAACATTCTTTGACTTAAGCGTATCACGTAGGGTACAAAATAACATAAACACAACACCATCTTTTTCTTTTTATACAGTAAATTGACCGATGAGGGTCTCCGCTGGACTACCTTGATGGCTGGTAGTTAGAGAGCTGTATTTTTTAATATAGGACGGCAAACTACAGACCGCTCGAATATTTGTTCGAAACTACTACAAAATTATACATAATACATAGTAGTTTTAATTAACACAGAGGGGTAATGGTCTTTGGTGTTTTTTCAAGAAATTCGGCTTTATTTAAAATTACATAACATTAGGACTAGCGTTACATTGAAGTTGTGTTGTACTTTCTTATTACATTACTTGTTACAACTATTACTTATTAACACATAAAATTATTTACTGCTAATATGAGCAAAATGACAAAATAAAATTTGTCCAAATATATGTCAATATTATCATGCGTCACCTTGCAAAATCCGGACATGAGATTTAGAGTAGCCAAACTGATAATATGCTAAAAATGGAAATACTCTTATCAGCCAAAAAGAAATATGTTGTATATAGTTACAAACAATTCTACAAATATCAAACTGTAAACTCCATATCACAAAAAAAAGGAACCGCAAAAGTAAAGTCTGCGGAAAGTTCATTTGAATGAAAGGTTTAGAATCAGCTGTAGTACAGGTACTCTTTGGTTTTTCTAACAATTTATACACAATATTTAAATAAATTTTCGCGTTTAAGGTGGGATTCAAAGACCACATGCCATCTGATAAGTAAGTAGCCATATTGATAAAATCTTGATCCTTGTTTTCCACTACAGGTTTGAGCAACTTCTCAGCCAATATTTTGCAAATGTCTTTAGTTTCCTCTAAAGAATCTCTGGAGATGTTAAACCTATAAGACTAAGTACGATTAAGAAGGTCAACCTAGTCCGCTTACTCACCTATTTTCTATACCCATTAAACAACCGATAACTCGCCAAACATGAACAAAAGCTCGCAAATCTTCATTAGTTGCGTTATGAAGACCAACTTCTTTACTTTTAATTACAGCAAATCCCATAAATCCGAACTGCGTTAGGGCCATGTCTTTTTGTGTAATGAGCCCCAAACCTTTAGCACAACTTTTCCTGCTAGCAAAGCTATGTTTGTTTTTTACTTCCAGCAATGATTTCCATAACCTAGAAAATAATTCGCTATTATTATTATTATATTTTCTGGGTTTAGTACTTTACGGGGATCCAGGAGTGAAGTCACTTTGGTACCAAATGCACATGTGGAAGACGGTAGACAAATATCTTCTATATGCGTCTAATGGTGAACCAGATTTCTTGGTAAATATTAGAATCCGCAAAACAGATGGAGTGGCAATATTGGATAGAAGACCCAAAAATTTGCTATAGAGTAGGGCAAAGATGTTGTCATTGAAAAACTTTTGACCCCTGCAATCACCACAATCATCAAACTATAAAAACCTAAATGTTATTATATGCTCGTATTTAGTACAAATATAAAGTATCTAAAGTGTATGTATACCTACTCTTCTAAGTTATTTTCCTGATGGATGAACTGCGATTAGACTGATTTTATTTATTTTGATGTTTGATTTTGTTATTAAATAAATATTCTTTGTTGTCGACAGTTATAAAATTAAAGACAATAGTTTTTTATGTTTTAAAATTGAAGGTAAGCGAAGAAAAATGTTGCTCCCTCGGTGGGAACCGAACCCTACGCCCCCCGCTTGCCGGGCAGGTATCCTGACCACTAGACCACGAGGCCGCTTATCTTTCTCCGCTTACCAATGTGTTATTGTGCCGCCACAAACTATTTAAAAGTTCTTGTAGCAAGCCCTAAAAATGTATGCGCGGCGTTGCAAACATTGGTAACCCAAAGATCAAAATTTAGAGAACAAACAAAAACGACTTTAAAATCTCTGTCACATTATATTGTTTCTAGCAGAAAACCTATTCAAACAATACGTTTTTAAATATCTGCAGCAATGTAGAAGAACGATGTAGTTACCATTTTAGATGAGCTTGAAGTTAATTACCGTGGAAATTATCGCGTTTTGTTAAGTGTGATCTCGTGTAAAGTTTCTTCACCTGTACATGCAACGATAGCATTAAGGGTAATAGGATACTAACCTTTTGAACATGTTTTTATCATAAAACGAAGGTAAATTTTCCTCCGATTTAAATGAACTTGCACTTTCGCTACAACCATATTTTATTCCTTCTTCCAGTAAATGTTGAACAAAATTTTCTGCACTAAATTGTGCTAAAACAGTTTTAGATCAAAGCCCATGAATTGTTAACATTCAGTAATTACCTTCAGCGGAAATCGGCTTGGTCATTGCACTTCTAGAAATAATTAAACATCATATTACACAAGAATAATAATTAAACCATTAAAAAAGTATTTCATTCGGAAAATTGTTGTAATTATAATATTTAATATTATGTATAAAATGCTGTATTAGACAAAATATTATGTAAGTAATAGAGTAATAAATAAATAGATAAAAAAATACATACATACTTACAGTAAATATTAATTATATCAATACCTTGCCGGTTCCACCACTTCGTTTAAATTACAGCTAGTTATATTTATTCACAATTTTTTCCGCGACGCACCCAGAACACTGTTTTACTGTACTCCTTGCCCTCAACAAAGCAGACGAAAAATAAACGCGAAAGTAGATTCCTTGATTTTGCAAGTTTTCTTAAATGGGAAAAATAATTAAATTGTTCTTACACCTAATTAACACAATTAACACTGAATTTCTAGTTGTATAGGTTTTACCTTCACAATTTGCCGCGTTTATGAGTTTGTAAACAACGTGACACTGATAGCCAACAGCATCACCAATTTTTGTTGTTTATATGTTTGAAAATATTTACGAAAGTTGTGATAAACCTACTTGTGCAGCGACAAGAAGATTTTTAATAACTGGATTTAATGTGCTTGTTTTAATAATTAAACAGGCAGAAATGAGTATAAAATCTTAAAGACGTAAAACTGACAATAAACTGTCTTACACGTTTGTTCAAATTTCAAAATTATCTGCACCTACGAATAATCACATTTATCAAGGGCAAGGGAAAGCTGGCATTTAAATATCCCTGAAGAAGATTAATAAAGTTGGATGTGTTACAGTGTTATAGACAGGTACTAACTAAAAACTAAGTGATAATAAAAAGTGTAAAGTAGGTAGAATGATGCTTTTGCCATTAATGTAAACGAAATTATGCAAATTTGCTTTGCAATTTTCGTTAATAGGTATTATTTCGTTCATTGTTTAATAATAATAAATTAATAAAGTTATTGTGTTATGATGTCTCTACTGGAAACAAAACAGCTCCAGAAGCACCTGAAAAAAAATTGGTCCGTGTTCCAAGGTTACTTCGACAGAACTTCCCTCGCCCTTTAAATACAGTCCAACGAATTCCGCTTCTTCGAAAAAATATAAAAAGTGTTTGTTTTCTGATGTCCTTTATACAGGGTTTCTACAATGTATGGAGACGGTTAAATATCTTGAGAACCAGTTGCACAAATCAATTGAAATTAGGTGTAGGGATACAAAAAGTTGTGGTCTAATTATTATTCGTCACACAAACACATCAAATAAAATGGTAAAAACTCTGCAAACAGCACGACTCCACAAGTACAGTTTCCCCAGTTCTAATTTGGTTTTATGATAGTACCCCACTGTGTAAAAGTTAACTTCTTTAACAAAAGATTACTACTGCCGGTCCTGGTGGCTTGTTATAAAACCGAGTTCTTTGCCATAAATTAGAAAAATCAGTCGAGAACGCTAACAATTACTTTATGATAGACCAGGCAAAAAGGGTTTTACCTGAAAAGTCGCTTTCGCTATTAAATTTAATTAAAACTGTTAAATGTTATGACAACATAAAAAAAACATCAACAAACAAAAAAAAATCATTTTAAAACAAAAAACATTTAATTTTTTAACATCTCTACTGTAAACCATAAATAGAACTTCAAAACCCCATCAACATAATTTTTTTAAGTAATGTATTGGGTGAGTCATTAAACGTGCGTTCCTCGATATCTCAATAATTATAAGAAATAGAAAAAAAAAGTCAAAGACCAAAGTTGTACGGTTTTTGAGGACTATATCCTAAAATTATTTTTAACTATACAGTATTCTGTTTTTAAAGCGTAGTAAGGGAACTAGTTCCTTGTTGTAACAGGGGTAAGTTGTAACACTAAATTTTTACCCGGAATTTAAACTATTTAATGTCTTATCTTAGCACATACTAGCCCCGCCCACCCGCCCTCTATTTTCTTGGTAAGTATATCATCTGCTACAATTAGTCTTATCTCAGCGAATATTAACCCCACCCACCCACCCGTTGTTTACTTTGGGGGTCTGTCATTTATCAAAAATCAATCTTATCTTAGCAAGTATTAGCTCCACCCTCTTGCGCTTTTCTTATTGACGATTTTATTTCTGTTGAGTATACGACCCACCTTTGAATCAGACCAGTTAAAATGAATCATTAAAATCATGGCAAGGTGGGTGGGCGGGGCAAGGCTGTTAAAAAAAGAAAAAAGCGCTAATCGTAATTTTTACCAAGTATTTGCTACAAGATTCATTCCTAATGTCAAAACAAAAAAAACGAGAGAACGGGTGAGTGGGCGGGGCTAAGTTTAACATTTTCCTACAAAGTTTTTTATAAGCAAGAAATAGCCCCACCCTCCCACCTTCTCTTCGGCCAGTCATTACTCTTACTATCGTTGAGTCTTATCTTAGTAAGTTTTAGTTCCCTCAAACACCTTTTATGTTCTTAAAGGGTACGTCATTTGCCACAATTATTCTTACTTACAAGTACTAGCCCCGCCCACCCACCCTCTATTTTCTTAGAAAGTATCTCATCTGCTACAATCAGTCTTATCTTGGCAAATACTAGCCCCACCCGCTCACCCTTTATTTACTCAGGGGGTATGTCATTTACCAAAATTAGTCTTATCTTAGCAAGTAAGTACTGGCTCCGCCCACTTGCACTTTTCTCATTGACGTTTTTATTTCTGTTGGGTATAAGACCCAGCTTTCATTCAGACTAGGTAAAATTAATCATTTATATGGTGGCGGGGAAGGTGGATGGGCGGAGTTAAAATGTTAAAAAGAGAAAAAAAGACCAAGTATTTACTATAAGATTTATTCCTTATTTCAAAAGAAAAAAAATATTGAACGGGTGGGTGGGCGGAGCTAAGTTTAACTTTTTCTTTCAGAGTCTTTTATAAGCAAGCAATAGCCCGGCCCACCCACCCCTTTTTATTCCAGTGATAACTCTTAATATTGTTCAGTTTTATGTTAACAAGTACTAGGCCCGCCCACCCGCCCTCTATTTTCTTGGAAGGTATGTCATCTGCTACAATCAGTCTTATCTTTTTTTAATGAAACACCCTACCTAGTTATATAGGTACCTTTTATCTTTAGATATTTTGATTAACCTCTTCTTAGGCTTTACAATCACAGTTTATTTTTGAAATTACGATGCGACGTTATTCCAATTTTCTCGATTTTTTTTAACAATGGAAGGGTTCAGAAAAAAATTCACAGTGGGGTTATTTTTTAAGTCTGTCTTACAATATTTTGGAAAGAAATAAAGAAAACTACGCACTTTGTTGTGGTATGAATGAGATTAAATTTTCATATACATATTGTATCTAAAAAAGTTTTAATTATTACAATTTTCATATATCCATATTTCGGTTCTTTAAAATAGAACACCCAATATTCTATTACTTATTATCTTATTCCATTTTTTGTTCTCTTTATTTTCTGTTGAGTATTTTCTGTTAAAGTAGACACTTATGGCGGTTTTTATTTTTTTAAGGGACACATCGACATATTAGAAGAATAAAGACAAAAAATAAAATAAAATACAATCAAAATGTACAGAGTTTTCCATTTGAAAAAACTGAAATATCGATATTTGTAAATTGTAAATTTTTAGATTTTTTATAAACAATCTGTGTATTAAAATTTGATTTAGTTGATACCAAGTCACGGAGCAACATTTTCAGAAAAATCGGTACGAAATGCGAATTTTTGAAAATTTCTAAAAACTTCGGTATCTCAACGGACTATTCTAGAAGAACGGTTGCGGTTATCGAAGAAACGATGCCGGAAATGAGTTCTAGAGCTCGAAATCTACAAGAACATGTATTTAGATTAGTTTCGAAAATTTCAAAAATTGGCCGAAATTTGAAGAAGGGGGGACCATTGAAAAAATTTCACTTTTAGAAAAGTCGTCTAAAAATTGTGAAAAAATTCAGGAACGTAGATCTCAATATGCTGATTCCAAAAATACAGCGTGTTGACGGTCACGAAGCAACATTTTCGAAAGAATCGGTACGAAATGCGAACTTTTGAAAATTTCTAAAAATTTCGATATTTCAACGGTCGATTCCGGAAAAACTGTTGCAGTTATCAAAGATCCAACTTATTTCTTAACAAAATTGGTTTGTTGTTTCTATTGCTGAACATTTAACATCAGTTTATTCATTTTAATTCCATAAAAGTTTTATAGTTTTTCGATTGACAAATTTATTCCATTTTTAATATTATGTTTTAAGGATCCTTTTTGATATTTTTTTTTGTTTTAATTAATTTAAAGAATACAGCATAGTTGTCACCATTTTATTCATAATCCTTCTTATAATAACAATATTTAGCGAAGTACTGCGGCTACTAAAAATAAAGAAAATTTCAAACGTCTCACACTAAAAAAAGAAATGTGAAACATATTCGAAAGAATTAAAATATGTGCAATAAAAATACGAACTTCGGCGTTGAGATTATAAAACTTTTAATTAAATTTAGCGCAAAATATCTACATAATTACAAAAATTTAGTTAGAGAAGTGTTATTAGAGCACTATTTATAAATTACTTTGCATAATAACATCCAATGACTAAGTTTATCTAAATAAAAAAATTGTTCTATTTTTATTCCACTGAACAATGGGTTCATAGCACATGGAAAAATAGCAGAAAACTACAACGCTTTGTACTAAAAAAAATAATTTAGTAACCATGATTTGTGCAAAGAATCACTAGTGCTTTTATTTCACTCACGTTGGCAACTCTGTCAGCATGACTCGGCGAGGTAAATTTTGACCATTTTGACAGCACAACAGTTCACAAAGTTAGGCAGTGTTCAATTATTGCAAAATAGTATAAATAATAAATGAAAATGTCGAACTTGGATGAAAGATTATTCGAAGACGGTGAAGAATCTCTGGGAGAAGAGGTTCTTCGTATGTCCACCGATGAAATTGTGAGTCGAACCAGACTTCTAGACAATGAAATAAAAATCATGAAAAGTGAAGTAATGAGAATAAACCACGAGCTGCAAGCCCAAAACGAGAAAATCAAAGAAAACACCGAAAAAATCAAGGTAAACAAAACCCTACCTTACCTTGTCTCAAACGTCATCGAGCTTCTTGACGTTGACCCTCAAGAAGAAGAAGAGGATGGAGCTGTGGTTGATTTAGATTCACAGCGAAAGGGAAAATGCGCAGTTGTAAAAACGTCTACAAGACAAACCTATTTTTTGCCGGTCATTGGACTAGTCGATGAAGAAAAACTAAAACCTGGAGATCTCGTTGGTGTTAACAAAGATTCCTACTTGATACTGGAGACCTTACCAGCCGAGTATGACGCTCGCGTTAAAGCAATGGAAGTGGATGAACGCCCCACGGAACAATACTCTGATATCGGAGGACTTGATAAACAAATTCAAGAATTAATTGAAGCTGTTGTGCTCCCCATGACCCACAAGGACAAATTCTTTAATCTTGGCATCCACCCACCAAAGGGAGTTCTTTTGTATGGCCCTCCTGGTACTGGCAAAACTCTTCTAGCTAGAGCATGTGCGGCTCAAACAAAATCAACCTTCCTAAAGCTGGCAGGCCCACAATTAGTTCAAATGTTTATTGGAGATGGTGCCAAATTAGTGCGAGACGCGTTCGCTCTGGCTAAAGAAAAAGCCCCAGCTATTATTTTCATAGATGAATTAGACGCCATTGGTACTAAAAGATTTGACTCAGAAAAAGCCGGTGATCGAGAAGTACAACGCACAATGTTGGAACTGTTAAATCAGCTGGATGGATTTAGTTCAACAGCAGATATTAAAGTAATTGCAGCAACTAACCGTGTGGATATTTTAGATCCGGCTTTATTGAGGTCGGGCCGTCTTGACCGAAAAATTGAATTCCCTCATCCAAATGAAGAAGCCAGAGCTAGAATCATGCAAATCCATTCAAGGAAAATGACGGTTAATCCTGACGTGAATTTTGAGGAGTTGGCGAGATCCACAGATGATTTTAATGGGGCCCAATGTAAAGCAGTGTGTGTTGAAGCAGGCATGATTGCGTTACGGCGCAATGCGACTGCAGTAACACACGAAGATTATATGGATGCTATCATGGAAGTTCAAGCGAAGAAGAAAGCTAATCTTAATTATTATGCTTAAGTTTCTTTTATAATTATTTCATGTGTGTATAATAAAGTATTTTGTAATGTAGAAAACTCACTTTAATAAAAAGATTGTAATAAAAAAATTGTGTCAGTTGAAATTATAAGTTTTAGTCGAAAACAAGCGGATCATAAACGAAGACGTCATCGTGAGGTACAGAAGGGCCCGCTTTTACCGACATACACACGTCAACGTCAAATGTCATTTTACGGCTGTGTAATCTTAATCATGTCAAATATGTGTCAAAATAAAAAATAATTTTTTACGTTGTAGTAGTGCTCCCATAAACAACTTTCTTTTGTATCATGTTTTGTTTAATTTAGTGTTTACACTATGGCCTGTCATCAACCATATGCAGGTGATATCATTCACCTAAATGTTGGCGGAAAAAGGTAATTTACATAGTAATACATTATTAAAATATGTTTACACAAATTGCACAATTAATGCTTTATAGATTTTCCACGTCCAAACAAACGCTAAATCTAATACCCGACACCTTTTTCACCGCTCTTCTCAGCGGACGAATATCCAGTTTACGCGACGAAAATGGAGCCATTTTTATAGATCGCGATCCCGAAATTTTCTCAATTATTTTAAATTATTTACGAACAAGAGAAATAGATTTACATGGAACAAATTTACGAACACTGCGCCATGAAGCCGAATATTATAACATTGCTCCTCTTGTCAAAAGATTAATTTTGTGTGAAGAATTAACCCAGTCGACTTGTGGGGACGTTCTTTTTTATGGTTATTTGCCGCCGCCTTGTAAGTCGAATTAGAATTCTTTGTTCGTGTTTTGATTGTTGTTTGTAGGTATTTCAGTTCAAGAAACAACACCAACAAGCCATTATGTAGAAACAACAGCAGTTCATTCTGTCAGACCAGGTTCAAGTATAAGAATTCCAGATGGACAAAACAATGGCTCAACACCGTCATCATCTGGAACAAATGGTGACAGTAATGGTGAGAGTTCACAAAATGGGAACAATCAATGGCACGGATCCCAGATCCCTCCAAATCAAATTATCAGTCCTGTATACAACAGGCCACAAGGTAATTATTTCACGTTTATTAATTAATAAAAAACAATATAAAAATGTAGGTCATTCACGTAATTCATCCATGGAACTGCGGTTAGGTATGTCGGCGACCTATAGTCGAAGTTCCCAGGATTTGAGGGGGTTAGCAAGCAGAGGTCATTCACGTGCAGCCTCATTAGACTTACGTCACGTGCGAAATTCGTCAGCCGATTTAAATAAATTATTTAGAAATGACATAGGGCTTGTTTTTGGTAATCCAGGTATAATTAAATGGTCATTAATTAGTTTCACAATAAACTGCTTGCATTTTTAGGTTCCAGTTGGGCTGACCCTCTGAGAGTTCAAATCATTAAAGCTCATCATAATTGGATTGTTGTTGGTTATGCACATTTTATTGTTAGTTATAGGTAAGTTGTGGTTGGTAAGTTTATTTAAAAAACAATGGCTCAGAATTTAATTGGATTTGTTGGTTGCACTCGTATTTTTAGAAAAATGTTGAGTTTATGTGTCTGAGTTAGTCACTGGTATGTAAAGTAATAAAATTTAAGCTGATGTTATTATAAACAAATGCAGTAGATTAGATTAAATAAATAGAAAGAGAGATAAGATGGAGGTGTTAAAAACGCAATATCTACATCATTTTGTTATCAAAATCAATTTGTTGAGGAGGTATCAACAAAAATTGTTACAATTATATTGATACTTTAAAAATCGAAAAATTGAAAAACTGTAAGATCGAAAATTTGGGAAGTCGAAAAATGGGAAAATCAAAAAGTAGATTAATTGAGAAATCGAAAATCTGAAAATTCTGAAACGTCAAAATTTGAAAAAAGTAAAAAAATGGAAAATTTTGAAAATTTAAAAATTTCTAAAATTGAAAAATTGAGATATAGAAGAACTGATGAAAACTCGAGAAATCGAAAAACCTATCATTTTAAAAACTGGAAAGTTAAAAAATCGAAAAGTTGAAAAATTGAGAAATCGAAGTATAAAATAGTCGAAAAATTGAAAAATCCAAAGTTTAAAAAACGAAAAATTGAAAATCCAAACAGTAAAACGTCGAGAACTCGAAATATCTAGAATTGGAAAAATCGAAAAGTCGAAATACTAAAAAATATTCAAAAATTAGGAAGTCACAGAAATGAAAAATTGAGAAATCAAAAAGTCGAAAAATCGCGAATTTAAAAAATGGAAAAATTGAAGAATTAAAAACCTAAATAATCCAAAAATTGAAGAACTGAAAAACTGAAAGATCGAAACTTTGGGAAGTCGAAAAATGGGAAAATCAAAATGTAGATTAATTGAGAAATCGGAACTCTGAAAATTCTGAAACGTCAAAATTTGAAAAATTGAAAATCGAAAATTTAAAAATTCCGAAAATTGAAAAATTGAGATATAGAAGAACTGAAAGCTCGAGAAATCGAAAAACCTAAAATTTAAAAACTGAAAAGTTAAAAAATCGAAAAGTTGAAAAATTGAGAAATCGAAGTATAAAACAGTCGAAAAATTAAAAAATCCAAAGTTTAAAAAATGAAAAATTGAAAATCCGAACAGTAAAACGTCGAGAAATCGAAATATCCGGAATTATAAATATTGAGAAGTCGAAATGCTAAAAAATATTCAAAAATTAGGAAGTCAAAGAAATGAAGAATTGAGAAATCAAAAAGTCAAAAAGCAAAGTCGAAAAATCGCAAATTTAAAAAATCGAAAAATTGAAAAATCAAAAACCTGAATAATCGAAAAATTGAAAAACGGTAAGATCGAAACTTTAGGAAGGCGAAAAATGGGAAAATCAAGAAGTAGATTAATTGAGAAATCGTAAATCTGAAAATTCTGAAACGTCAAAGTTTGAAAGATTTTAAAAAAGGAAAATCGAAAATTTAAAAATTCCGAAAATCGAAAAATTGAGATATAAAAGAACTGATGAAAACTCGAGAAATCGAAAAACCTAAAATTTTAAAAACTGAAAAGTTAAAAAATCGAAAAGTTGAAAAATTGAGAAATCGAGGTATAAAACAGTCGAAATATTAAAAAACCCAAAGTTTAAAAAACCAAAAATTTAAAATCCAAACAGTAAAACGTCGAGAAATCGAAATATCTAGAATTAGAAAAATCGAAAAGTCGAAATGCTAAAAAATATTCAAAAATTAGGAAGTCAAAGAAATGAAAAGTTGAGAAATCAAAAAGTCAAAAAGCAATGTCGAAAAATCGTAAATTTAACAAATTGAAAAATTGAAAAATCAAAAAACTGAATAATCGAAAAATTGAAGATCTGAAAGATCGAAACTTTGGGATGTCGAAAAATGGGAAAATCAAGAATTAGATTAATTGAGAAATCAGAAAGCTGAAAATTCTGAAACGTCAAAATTTGAAAAAATAAAAAAAAAATGGAAAATCGAAAATTTAAAAATTCATAAAATTGAAAAATTGAGATATAGAAGAACTGAAAGCTCGAGAAATCGAAAAACCTAAAATTTTAAAAACTGAAAAGTTGAAAAATTGAGAAATCGAAGTATAAAACAGTCAAAAAATTGAAAAGTCAAAAATCTGAATAATCGAAAAATTGAAGAACTGAAAGATCGAAACTTTGGGAAGTCGAAAAATGGGAAAATCAAAAAGTAGATTAATTGAGAAATCCGAAATCTGAAAATTCTGAAACGTCAAAATTTGAAAAATTAAAAAAAACTGGAAAAGAGAAAATTTAAAAATTCCGAAAATTGAAAAATTGAGATATAGAAGAACTGATGAAAACGCGAGAAATCGAAAAACCTAAAATTGTAAACACTGAAAAGTTGAAAGATTGAGCAATCGAAGTATAAAACAGTCGAAAAATTGAAAAATCCAAAATTTAAAAAACGAAAAATTGAAAATCCAAACAGTAATACGTCGAGAAATCGAAATATCTAGAATTAGAAAAATCGAAAATTCGAAATGCTAAAAAATATTCAAAAATTAGGAAGTATGTAAAAGAAATGAAAAATTGAGAAATCAAAAAGTCAAAAAGCAAAGTCGAAAAATCGCAAATTTAAAAAATCGAAAAATTGAAAAATTAAAAACTTGAATAATCGAAAAATTGAAAAAAATCGAAATTTTGGGAAGTCGAGAAATGGGAAAATCAAAAAGTAGATTATTGGAGAAATCGGAAATCTGAAAATTCTGAAACGTCAAAATTTGAAAAAAAATGGAAAATCAAAAATTTAAAAATTCCGAAAATTGAAAAAGAATTGAACACTGGAGAAATCAAAAACCTAAAATTTTAAAAACTGAAAAGTTAAAAAATCGAAAAGTTTGAAAAATTGAGAAATCGAAGTATAAAACAGTCGAAAAATTGAAAAATCCAAATTTTAAAAAATGAAAAATTGAAAATCCAAACAGTAAAACGTCGACAAAACGAAATATCTAAAATTAGGAAAATCTAAAAGTCAAAATGCTAAAAACTATTCACAAATTAGGAAGTCAAGGAAGTGAAAAATTGAGAAATCAAAAAGTCAAAAAGCAAAGTGGAAAAATCGCAAACTTAAAAAATCGAAAAATTGAAAACTCAAAAACCTGAAAAATCGAAAAATTGAAGAACTGAAAGATCGAAGCTTTGGGAAGTCAAAAAATGGGAAAATCAAAAAATAGATTAATTGAGAAATCGGAAATCTGAAAATTCTGAAACGTCAAAATTTGAAAAATAAAAAAGGAAAATCGAAAATTGAAAAATTGAGATATAAAAGAACTGAAAACTCGAGAAATCGAAAAACCTAAAATTTTAAAGACATAAGTTAAAAAAACGAAAAGTTGAAAAATTGAGAAATCGAAGTATAAAACAGTCGAAAAATTGAAAAATCCAAAATTTAAAAAACGAAAAATTGAAAATCCGAACAGTAAAATGTCGAGAAATCGAAATATCCAGAATTAGAAAAATCGAAAAGTAGAAATGCTAAAAAATATTCAAAGATTAGGAAGTCAAAGAAATGAAAAATTGAAAAATCAGAAAAAGTCAAAAAGCAAAGTCGAAAAATCGCAAATTTAAAAAATCGAAATATTGAAAAATCAAAAACCTGAATAATCGAAAAATTGAAGAACTGAAAGATCGAAACTTTGGGAACTCGAAAAATGAGAAAATTATGAAGTAGATTAATTGAGAAATCGGAAATCTGAAAATTCTGAAACGTCAAAATTTGAAAAATTAAAAAAAAAATGGAAAATCGAAAATTGAAAAATTGAGATATAGAAGAATTGATGAAAACTCGAGAAGTCGAAAAACGTAAAATTTTAAAAACTGAAAAGTTAAAAATCGAAAAATTGAGAAATCGAAGTATAAAACAGTTGAAAAATTGAAAATCCAAACAATAAAACGTCGAGAAATCGAAATATCCAGAATTAGAAAAATCGAAAAGTCGAAATGCTAAAAAATATTCAAAAATTAGGAAGTCAAAGAAATGAAAAATTGAAAAATCAAAAACCTGAATAATCGAAAAATTGAAGAACTGAAAGATCGAAACTTTGGGAAGTCGAAAAATGGGAAATTCAAAAAGTAGATTAATTGAGAAATCGGATATCTGAAAATTCTGAAACGTCAAAATTTGAAAAATTAAAATATCGTAAAATTGAAAAATCTAAAATTTAAAAATCTAAAAACTAAAAAAATCAACAAATTGAGAAATCGAAACTCGACAATTAAAAAAAATGGAAAAATGGTTAAAAAATCGAATAATACAAAAATCGAAACATAGAAAAATTCAAAAACTGAGATATCGAGAAATTGAAAAATCAAAAGATCAAGAAGTCGAAGGGTCGAGAAGTTGAAAAATCGAAAAATTGAGAAACCGAAATAGGCCAAAATCGAAAAGTTAAAAGTGGAAAAATTAATAAATCAAGCAATTGAACTATGCATCTTGATAAATCGAGATCTCAAAAAATTGAAATATCCCAAATTTAAAAATTCGGAAAATTAAAAAATTAAAATATAGAAGAACTGAGAACTCGAGAAATCGAAAAATCTAGAATTTAAAAAATGAAAAATTAAAATATCGAAAAATATTGAAATATAAAACAGTAGAAAAAATGAAAAATCCAAAGTTTAAAAAACGAAAAAATAAAAAATCGAAAGTTCGAAGAAACGAAATATTGAAAAATCCCAAAACTGAAAGAAATATTAAAAATTGAGAAATTAAAAAATTGGAAAATTGAGAAATCGAAATATGTACTGTAGAACTGAAAAATAAAAAAATTGGGAAATCGAAAAATCTAAAATATTAAAATCGGAAGACTGAAAAATCGACAGTTCGAGAAATCGAAACTTCACAATTAATATCGAAACATCGAAAAATTGAAAAGCCCAAAAGTAAAAAATCGAAAAATTCAGAAGTCGAAAATTCGAAGAAACGAAATATTGAAAATTCCCAAAACTGAAAGAAATATTAAAAATTGAGAAATAAAAAAATTGGAAAATTGAGAACTAGAAATATGTACTGAAGAACTGAAAAATAAAAAAAATCGTTAAATCGAAAAATCTAAAATTTAAAAATTGTAACATTGAAAAATTGGAAAATCGAAAAATTGAAAAGCCCAAAAGTAAAAAATCGAAAAATTCAGAAGTCGAAAATTCGAAGAAACGAAATATTGAAAATTCCCAAAACTGAAAGAAATATTAAAAATTGAGAAATAAAAAAATTGGAAAATTGAGAACTAGAAATATGTACTGAAGAACTGAAAAATAAAAAAAATCGTTAAATCGAAAAATCTAAAATTTAAAAATTGTAACATTGAAAAATTGGAAAATCGAAAAATTGAAAAGCCCAAAAGTAAAAAATCGAAAAACCGAGAAATCCAAAAATCGAAACATCGAAAAATTCAAAAACTGGGACATCGAGAAACCGAAAAATCAGAGGATCAAGAAATAGAGGAGTCGAAAGCCGAGAAGAAAATTTAAAACATGGAAAATTGATGAATCGAGAAATTGAACGTTATGTCTTGGTCTACATAATTGTATTTTTTTTTTTTTATTATTAAACTATGTTAATAGAAACCAGGGTTTCGCTAAAATTAATATTAATTAATTTTTGCGAGGACACGTATGTACATCAACTTAGATTGGTGCAGTGTAATACTAAAAATAACAGTATTGTATGCCCAAAATTTGGTATCTACCCAAAATGTGCAAAGTATGATGAGTTTTTATTTGTGATTCACCATTGCATTAATATTTTTTATTGATCAAATTACGAACGAGTCACCCCATTTTCCCGTAAATGTGAAGTACAAACGTCTTTATTTAATAAGAATTAAAATAAAGATATTCAGAACATTTTGTCGATTGTCGCGTACTTACTGTTTTGAGGGGACGAACTCATTCAAATCAAACTAATTGCTGCGTGACATTCTTCCGATGTATAATCATAAACACAAAATTCTGTAATAGAAAAATTCACCTGTAACAAAAAAACAATAAACTTCGCAAAATCAAATCTTTTAATTTTTCGAAAGAGCCGGATTTGACAAGCTGTACTTTATGGATGAGGAAAATTTTAACTTTTACCGCAGACCATTTACGATAAATAATAAGATGGTGTCATAACTTTCATCAAACCAGCAGAATCTTACTTTAAACGTTAAACATATTAATTCCGTATTCAATATTCAGACTGAAAGACTCGAGCGGATGGCAACAAATTTTTATTAGCCCTCACATTGAGCAGTGTATAGAGCGTATTGCGATTAATGCCAAAATGGGTTCTGGAGACAATTCCAAAATGGTAGCAATTTCCTATGGTAGCCAAGTTCGGCTGTGGGGAATTTCCGACAGTGGTGAAAAAACCAATATTGGCAAGTTATTTTAGCGTTGTTTGAGTATCCGGTGACGTCATATTGTTGTAGGTATCTTTAATTTACACGTGCGTGTGGAATATTTATTTTTCATTGGTAGCCAGCTTGTTGCGCTATCGCCCTCTGGTAAATTGGGAGTTTGGCACGCTATGACTCAGCATTGGCAAACCCAGGATGTAATGCCAATTGCATCATTTGATACCGCTGGGTCGATTCTTCTACTGGGTTGCAATAATGGCTGTATCTATTATATAGGTGGGTAAAGTTGACAGTTGCAGTTGAGACAAGACTGTACTGTTGCAATTTGAAACGATGTTTTGTAGATATGCAGAAATTTCCGTTGAGAATGAAGGATAACGATTTACTGGTAACCGAACTGTACAGGGACCCGAACAACGACCCAGTGACAGCTATATCGGTGTACCTAACGCCGAAGACAAGTAAGTACTTTTGATATCGGCAGCTAAATAAATTGCACATTTTTGTGACTTATTTATTCACGGTTCGTAAAATAGCTTCACTTTAATTTATATTGGACAAGGGAAGTCGCATCACAATACTAAAATTAACGAAATGTTTAAAGCACGAAAACGTGATGCGATTTTTGTTGCCCTTTTTGTCATTTCCCTGTAACTTAGGCCTTGTGTTTCATCCCAGCGTCAGAGAGAGGTCGGGAAGGTATGCCACTATTTTGAAGCTTACACGTTGGTTCATTTAGTTCTACAATATTGTACATTGGACTTTTAACAGTTGAATACTCGACAAAGGCTTTACATTTTACTGGAATCCATTATCGTGTGTATTATGTGGTGTTGGTGAGAAAATCTTAGTGTTTCGTGTAAAATGTAAGGCTTCAAAGAACAAAAATAAACATTTAATTTGTGCACAGTTCAATTTTGCATTCATTGGTTTGCTGGTATGTCAACACAAGGACACCAAGCTACCAATACTACAAAAACTAGTGTTGTCGTGTCTTGTTTCCGTTTAATTATTTGTTTTTTGCATTTTTGTCTTTTTTCGTTTGCATATTGTGCTTCTTGTTTTCTTCGTCTTGTAGTTGAAAATTTATACGAATCCAATTCAAGCTAATTGTTCTATAGATTTATGTGGCAACTGGATCGAAATTGCTTATGGTACAACGTCAGGTTCAGTACGAGTAATCGTCCAACATCCAGAAACCGTCGGTCATGGACCGCAACTGTTTCAAACCTTCACCGTCCATCAGAGTCCAGTCACAAAGGTAGGATATTTAGTGGTTTATCAATAACTCAAACTTTTGCTTGGTGTGTTTATGAATGTTTCACGCATAATTTGAAATCTCTGGATTTTTATACACATAATAATTATCCCGATTTGAAAACCACAAGGTGCTATAAGTGATTGTCACTAAATTTAAAATATTGGTGTTACCAGTGACTACACAGTAATTCTATTCAAAATAAAAAAAAAAACAAGTTTTGTTTAGTGCATGTTTTTTTTTTGCAACAGAACTTACTGATTTAAGTCTACTACAATTTTTTTTCTTTTCAGTATTTTTTTAACAATTTTGAAGTCAAAAAAGGGTTTGTAACACTTTTTTCGTAGGGAGTGGGCTATCAGTCAAAAACTGGCACTTATTTATACTATTATTTATACTATTTTTTCTACTGCGCACGTTTTTTCGTAAAATTTAATTGAAATTTGTATTTTTTTAAATCTGGGGAATTTTGTCGTGGTTGCTGATGGGTTGGTCTGACACGAACCACGAAATATTTGAAGTTCGAATTTTCACAACAACAATGAAATTCTTATGAAGAAGTTAGTGAAGGCCTTACGGGTCCCGAAATACGGGAAATTTTAATCTGACATTTGCCATTGACATTCACCTGACATATCTCGTCATGGCTACCAACCTTATCGATCTAAATTACACCAGATCTATTTCAGAACCCCTTTCCGCTATTAACGAACCACTTTGACGTCATTTGGGTGCTTTAATAGCTCTATTAGAATATCAAGGTAGAAAAAAAAATTTTTCGTGGGAAGTGTGTTTTCATTCGAAATTTATTTAATTTATAAACTCGATTTGAAAAAACGTACATATACTCGTATAATAAGTATTATCAATTTATCTTTTGACACGGTATATAGTTATTTTACAGCCCTAATTACATACTTTTAGAGTTGGAATATACTATTTATATACATGTTTTATTTTATAAGGTTTCAGTCGGTCAAAGTTAATTTAGTTTTGATACTGCAAATTCAAAATTTATAAATCCTTCACCCGCTAAAGTAATAATTCTGAAGAAAGTGCTTTAAGTCTTATTTTTGTTTCCATTATACCGGGTGTCTGGGAAATGGTGGATTAGCATTATTATTAATAAAACAAGCTGATATTTTTTATTAATAAATAAACCAAAAAAAAACATTTAATAAGACATTTATAAGTTATAAACAAAAACAAAATCAACAAAAGAAAAATCCATTAAAGCATAACCAACTAAAACACTAGAGAATATTTTCAAAATTCCTGCCTTGTGCGTATAAATAAGCTCGTAATGTTTCCAAACTTTCACCATTTTTTGTAAAAGTAAGCTAAGTTTAGCTTTTTTCTAGTTTTATGAGCAAACAGTAGCCCCGCCCACCCACCCCTTCATCATTCCAGTGACTACTCTTCATATTGTTCAGTTCTATCTTAGCAGATACTAGCCCCACCCGCCCGCCCTCTCTTTTCTTAGACGGTATCTCATTTGCCAAAATCTGTTTTATCTCATCAAGTACCAGCCCCGCCCACCCGCCCTCTATTTTCTTAGAAGGTACATCATTTGCCACAATCAGTCATATCTTAGCAAATAGTAGCGCCACCCACCCACCCACCCTTTTTTTTTAAAGAGTATGTCATTTACCTCATTTACCAAAATCAGGCTTACGTTAACAAGTACTAGCCTCCCCCCCCCTCTATTTTCTTAGAAGATATGTAATTTGACACAATCAGTTTTATCTTAGCAAGTACTAGCTAATGTAAGTAACTAATGTAAGTAATGGCAAATGACATACCTTCTAAGAAAAGAGAGGGTGGGTGGGCGGGGCTAATAGTTGCTAGGATAAGACTGATTTTGGCAAATGAGATACCGTCTAAGAAAAGAGAGAGGTAGTAGCTACTAAAATAAGACCGATTGTGTTAAATGACACCTTCTAAGGAAAGAGAGGGTGGGTGGGCGGGGCTAGTACCTGCTAAGATAACACTGACTTTGGGAAATGACACCCTCTAAGAAAAGGGACGGTGGATGGGCGGGGCTAGTAGCTGGTAAGGTAAGACCGATTTTGGCAAATTACATATCCTCTAAGAAAAGAGAGGGTGGGTGGTGGGTGGGGCTAGTACCTGCTATGATAAGACTGATTTTGGCAAATACGATATGACTTAAATGACGTATCCTAAGAAATTTAATTAAATTATTATAAGAAAAGACATTAGAGGCTACAAAGCACTTTCAAATTCTTTCCAAACAGGAATACCTAGAACCTCAAGACTATTTTAATTAAAAAAAAAATCGTACCAAAATTGACTCACTTTGACAATTTTTGATACTGTGATAACCCAAACATCCCGTCTTAAATTAGCATGTGAAAAAAAAATTGAAAAACCCGCGAAAAAATACAAAATTTAAAAATTTGTCCTTGGCTGTGATCGTCTAACAAAATGGAATCCTACGTTGTGTTTTTGAAAATGGCGGGATGTGTTCAGACGCAAATGGTGGACCCCAACGTTGGAAACGTATCGCTACATAAAACACAAAATTTATGGAAGACACAAAATTATTCCTCCACTGACAAAAAAAAAGAAAAAAAAAAGCTGCGTGCGACGATGACGCGTGACTTGCCCTCAGTCTGCCCAATCGCAATCGCTTTTCAGCTCTAAAACAAGAACTTGTGGAACTTTGGATGAAATTTAAACGAATCAACGCAAATATTTGAAAATCACAAATTTAATAAAAAAAATAAAGTAGCAGAATGCAAATGCACAAGTGGAGTTTGGGGTTCCCGGTCGTGGCTGTTCTCCCCCACGGCGGTGATTGTATCTATCGCAAGCACTGTCGCAAAGTAATTCTCTTACGTACGTGCAGACGGCGCAATAAAACCCGCCAGCTCAACTAGGAACCACGCACTCCGCTTCCACCACGTGTTTTTGTGTTATTTAACCTCAATTTCATTTATAATGTTCAAATTCTATGACTCTGATATTAATGACAACTGAGCAATTGTTAAAGTTTCAAAAAGAGCAATCATCAGATAATTTATACGATCGAAACATTGATCAACAAAATATTTACAAAATAAAAAACTAGCAAAGATTTATAAAAACAAAAGATATGGTATGAAATAAATTTGTGCAAATAAAAATATAACGTGAGGTTAAAACTGCAGAGTATGAAAATTTACGTCCAATTTAAATTATACAAGAAAGAAAATTACTGATGTTAAAATTGTGAGATAAAGAAAATTGCATGAGGCGAAAAATTGCAGCTAACAAAATTACAATATTTACCACACTTTATTAACGATTCAAACAAAGAATTTATATGATGTTACATTATGCCATGGTTCAAGTGATTGGTTACTTAAAACAATTTGTTTTGAGAATTTATATCGTGAACTGTTTACCCCAAACAAAGCACAAAATAAATAAACACAAAAATATCCAGTCATCGTTACGAGGAAAAAGCGGCTCGGTGATGTAAATTTTAGCGTTGCGAGGAAATGCCTCGATGATGTAATTTTTAACGTTGCGAGGAAATGCCTCGGTAATGTAATCTTCAGGGTACCCACTTGTCATAACATCATAAAAAATCATAAAATTTTGCTTGTGTGACAAAAATCATAATATATCATAAAATTCAAAGATACGTCATAAAAATTTTAATTTGTATGAAAGGTTTTCTGATTTTCAATTATTTCTATATTTAAATTTTGGTGTTAAATTTTGTTGTCGAGTTGGTCCATAGTAGCCAGTGTTTTTCAAGTTCTTCACTGAAAACAATTTGGATTTCTCATGCCTAATCTATATTGGAATGGACGGTCCTAACGTCAATTTAAATTTGAAATTCTTATAAAAGAAGAACTTAACGAGTACATGGAACAAGAATTTTAGAAATAAAAACTTGTAACATTCATATTGTTCACAACTGTTTTAAGAAAGGTTTAGAGTGCCTGAACAGTCTATTTGAATCATTTATCAACAATTTAGTTTTCTTTTTTAAGTTGTCAAGTGCAAGAAGGGAAGATTATAAAGCTATAATTGATATGGCCGAAGATTCAAATTCTTTATTTCTGAGTTATTGCTCAACAAGGTGGTTATCTTTAAAACCAGCGTTAGTAAGAATTTTGGAACATCAAAAATATTAAAAAATATTTCAAAGAGGTTTTACCAAAGCAAAAGAATTTTTCAAAAGAAATTAAAAACACTAGTTGATACAAAAGAATTACAACAATTATTATCCAAAGACCAGTATTTATATTAATTTTTCTATTTATATTGCACAAATTTTTGAGGAATTCCTGACAAAATTTCAAGGAGAACAAGTCCTAATTCATCTTTTATATGATGGCCTCTCTGCATTGTTACATACTTTAATAAGTCATTTTTTAAAACACGAACTTCTAACTAGGGAGGGAAAGAAACTGGAGGGCGACTTATTGCAAAAAATTCACCTTAAAGAAGTTAAGTTAAATTTAACAATAAGAAAAATGATCAGTGATTCAAATGTATCTTCTAAAGACTTACTGGTATTACTTAATGAATTTTTGAAATTCTTTAAAGAAACATCAAAGTACCTTAAAAAAACATTCTTTGGACAATTCTTTTTTAAAAGATGTCCGGCACATTTATTTCACAATATTTAGTTTTTATTATGTGAACAGAAATCCTGTTTTTTTCTTACGTTGATATTAATGTTATATGTATGTATCTGAATGCAAATTAAACTTTTTTGTGAAAAATTACGAATTATTATTGTCATAAAAAATTCCCTGTCATAAAAAAAAATTCTGAGTAGTGGGTACCCTGAATCTTTAACGTTGCGAGGAAATGCCTCGGTAATGTAATCAATCTTTAACGTTGTGAGGAAATGCCTCGATGATGTAATGATGATAACAAGGATGATAACTGCCTAAGGAAAAAATTATTTTAACCGCCCGCCAGTTCACGATATTACAGTTTCGGCCAGAGAATCTTGGGCAGTATTTTTCTGCCATTTAAAAAAACACAATGTAGTCTATACTTTATTGTCATGATGATTGACACTTTTAAAAATTAATTTTGACATAGGTACGTCATCATCCACATTCCAGTCTACGTCAAAATGACAAACATGGCAAATTTGAGGTTATAAATACGTAAAGATACAGAACTGTCCAAGATTTTGTGGCCGAAACTGTATGAGTTTTGTTAATTTAACTGCCGTAAATGAACTACATATTAGCAATCTTGTGTGAAGAATTAAGAAGTGTTAATCTTTGGCGTCCTTTTTTACTATATATAGTTTTTTTTTTTCAACAATATGTTACTTAAAACAATTTTAATCTCATATTCACCATTTGATATTTTAAGCATTTTATTTTTGAAAGAAAACTATGTATATTACTCAAAGAAAGTTAATGGATAAGCCCCACCCACCGCTTTACAATTGTAATGATATTCCATTTGTTGTGAGAGCTTAATATTGTAAAATCTAATTTCTCGATAAAAATTTAACAATTAAACTTATTTTAAATTTCTTGTTGTGAACAGATGACAGCGCATATTAAGAAAAAATGGGTAGAATATAAGCCCCATCCACCCGCCCCTGTCTCAATTGTAATGAATTTTTTTATTCATCGTCAGTTGAGGGGTGGAGCTTAAGTGCAAAATCTATTTTCTTACAAGAAATTACCATGTGAAACGTAACCAGGGTTGCCAGATCTACCGATTACGTACAGTAGTTTTTTTCCCTTTCGATATCCTTGTACTTTTGAGAAAATATTATTCCCTTTTTTTTTCTAAAGATAGCCTATTTTCAACAATACGATCAGATCACTTGATAATTTCTTATACAAAAATATGGACTTCGTAATTAAGTCCTGCGTCCCGTCTGAGAATAAGACCGAGGCAGGTGGGTGGGTGGGGCTTTCTCATTGGTTTCTTTTTATTGATAAATACAGTTTTCTTTCGACAACATGGCACTTAAAACATGCTTTACTTGATAATTACTTGTAGAAGAAAAAAAAGAGGATTTTGCAATTAAGCTCCACCCCCAGCTCACGACGAATAAAAAATTCATAATAATTGAGAGAAAATCAGAGGGGGGGACTTATGTTTGCCTTTTCTCTTAATATATGTAGTTTTCTGTTCACAACAAAAAACTTAAAACATGTTTAAAATTAAATTTTTGTCCACAAATATCGATTTTGTAATTAAGCTCCGCCCCTCAATCTGACAACAAATGAAAAATTCGTGACAATTGAGACAGGGGCGGGTGGGTGGGGCTTAGTCATTGGCGTCGTCTTTTCTTAATGTATATACTTAGTTTTCTTTCAACAATACGTTACTTAAAACATAATTATAATCTCAAAAATCAAAAAATTTTGTATGCGTCGTGAGACGGGGAGGGGGGGAGTAAACATGATTTAAGTATCGTGTTGCTGCAAGAAAACTGCATATATTAAGAAAAAGAATTCAAATGTAACACTTAAGTATATGCATCCAGAAAACTCATTCATAACTTTGTAAACAAAGGGTGTTATCCTGACTAAGTGAATTTCATGAAATCTCCTAGTAAGTATTTATCTGAGCAAGTTCCTGATTGTTAAATTGTGTTAGAACTAGTTAACGATGAAACTCCTAACATGAATTGTGAATTTACAAACAATGAATTAAATTTACACGTGTCGACGTCGGTCAAAAATTCACATTTTCCGATTAGAAAACTGCAAGAATTAGCTGCGTGTGTTGGGGAAAACTGGGCGCCGTCGTTGTTACGATTAATTGTCGTTAAGCAAAGGCGTCTTTTTCACGATGCTTTCGCCATGCCGCCATCTTGTCTACCAACCAACCCCCTAACAAAAATCCCCCAGCGAGCTACCAACTACCAGAAAAAGAACTAAACGTGCACAAGGCTTATGTTTAACGATTTTTTTTATTGAAATTTTTTTCAAATTCAAATGTGATTTCGCGCCGCTGTTAATTAACTTCAGCGCGAAATTTTAATTCAAATTCGGTCACCACAATACGTCAAACATTTTTAACTGATTACTTGATTTTTGCTGATTTGTACCTTCTTTGCTTTATATCAGGTAAGCATTGTTGTCAAATGGAATTTTGTCAAATTATTACAAAATGATCATAGGCCAGGGAATAATAACCAAAAATATTATTAGTAGTTAATAGTCAAAAATATATAAAACATCAAATTTTGTATTAATACATTACCGAAAAATGCATCGTATCCATTTGTTATAGGTCACCTTATCGGAAAAATATCTCGTCTCAGTGTGCTGTGAATACAATCATGTACGAAGCTGGAGGGTTACCAGGTTCAGGGGCATGTTATCCACTCAACCGGGTTCAACTCCAGAAGCTTCTTTCAAAATAGTGTCTTTAGAGGCAGTGGAACCCTCCATTAGCCACGCCACTTCCAACGATTGCGGACCATTTGGAGAACAAGACGACGAACAAGTCTTCGTCCAAAAGGTGGTACCCGACGCCGATCAACTCTTCGTCCGATTGGCCAGCAACGGAAAGCGAGTGTGCGTTATAAAAGCCGTAGACGGCAGCACCGTAAGCGCATTCTGTGTACACGAATGCGAAGGATCGAGTAGAATGGGATCCAGACCCAGGCGTTTTATTTTCACAGGACATTCGAACGGATCCATACAAATGTGGGATCTAACCACTGCCCTAGATTTATCTTATAAGACTGACTTAGGTAAAATTTACAGCTTGCAAAGAATTAAGAAGGTAATTTAGTTTTTTTAGCGGACAAAACTAACGGAGGCCCCTCGCCGGAAGAGCTCCTTCAAATGTTAGATCAATGTGATTTGAGTAACAGTCTTTGTTCGACTCCCTGTATGTCTCCCTTGCCCTCTGTTGCTGCAGCTGCGCGTCTTAAATCTAGCAATGTGGCTTTCCTTAATCAGCAACAAGATGCTGATCGTGCTTCAAGTTCAAGTTAAAGGTCGTTCAAACTTCTTGTTTCTAGTTCCGGGTGTTTCTGCATTTGTTGTAATATATAATTTTTTTTCAGTGCGAATTCATCGCAATTATTTAATTTTGTGCAATAAATTCTTGCCTTTGTTGTTAACATTTAATGATAATTGTTTTAGATTCTCATTTTAAGTTTGTCGTTAAGTTGTTGAAGCTAATTCATTAAAAAATATAATAGAAAATGATGCCTAGAGAAGTTTTTTAAAATGTTCAAGAATTAAGTCAGACTGCCGTTTTTGGGAAAATCATTGACAAAAAATTGATTTTCTTAAACAGAGCTAGCACTTGACATTACTGTAATTAATAAGCAATAGAAAAGCTGAATTGGCGTACGGGGTCTTTAGCTGTGTTGAAACACCATTAAAGTGGATTTAGCAGATTGTAAACTTCCATATAGACGCCTCTTTCAGTACTTTAATTTAACAAGAACAGATGTGCGACGCACAAACGTGATGTGTGAGCTTGTCTTTTCTAAAACTAGTAGGAAAACTGTAGGGCGTAGATGGTGTTTTTAAAAAATATGGAACAAATCGGATAAAACTGAGCAAATGTCATTAAAAAAATTAACAGTATATAAGAAACGTATAAAAAAAATTTAAATCAGGCATCAGAAGAACATGGGTACCCTTGAAACTTATTTTTAGTGGCACCACTGAATTATGTACTTTTTTATTGGCATTTGTAAATCGCTACAAAATAAAGTGTGGAATATCTTAAAAATTTCAAGTTATTTTTATTTTATTATACTGAAAACTTTGCAATATTATATCACGTTTATTTTCTTGGAAGAATCTTGTAGTGATTTGTATAATATACAATTTTAAATGACGCACTTTTGACGAAATCAACCAAAAAATTTGACAGCTACTCCAAAAAAGTCGCTAACCTAAAAAATTTAATTCTTTCTTATCCCAACGTGTTCCATACTTTTTGATCACAATGTATAAAAGACGGATATGTATGTCGTGTTATTCTTAACGTTTGTGGAGCCTTTCACTTTTTTGATGTCCTAAGAATACCACTTAATGTTGATGTTTTCTTTGTTAAAAATTGTTGACTGATAATAATTATCAGCTTTTGCTGATTTGTAAATGCTCGCGAAATGTAACATAACACCTACTGAGGTGGTAATAAATTTTATAGACAAAATAAGAATAAATTGTGATAGAATTCTTCTATTTCTTGATGTATTATGATGGAATTTTACATTTATTAAATAAAATTCATAAGAATTATTGCTTGTTTGTTTAATTCGTAAATAAAATACATCGTAAGAAACATCTTTAATACTCGCATTTCTTCATAGAATAATGTTAATAATTGACAAGTTACTCCTGCCGTTTAGTCAATATATCTTAACGAGTGTCGCAATAATTTCATTACCTAACTAATTACATAAATATCTAAAATACTTTCAAAATAAAATCTGGTGTTACCGTTAATTTACAAACTAATATATACTAACGTAAAGTGATGATAAATTAGACTGCCTATAAGTAATAAATTAATTTAAAATACTGTTTCGGATTTTTTAAGACGAAACAACTTTTTAACTGTTATAATATTTACTAGGTCACTGTAAAAGTAGTAATGCATCAATAACAAATTACATAATTAATTACTTCTAGAGTCGAGATTGTAAAAAAGTTGAGCAAAATTGTCATATCGACCGCTTTCCTATTTTATATTATGGATTTCCCTAATACCAGCGAAAGTTCGAATGATTACCTATAACTGCTATACTTCCAATGGCTTCGTTCGTTTATAACAATCGTCCTATAGTAACAATATATTAACTACACCTGATTACATATATCACGTTAATTGTTAAATTTTGTACCGAGTATTATTATAGTACCAGTCCGGTTTAGTCAATGGGTTTAGTAAAAAACACCACAAAACAAAACCTATAATAAACAAGAACACTATAACCATCTTTTTAGCTCCTTTGTACGTGTTAACTTCGACTAAATCGGGAAATCCCATATGATTACAAAAGGCATGCGCAACAAAAGTTGCAGCAAAATGACCTGTTCGCAACAACAAGTAGGCAGAGTACATTCCGAAGATTGTGGTGTAGACGAACTGAAAACCTAAGCAAAAATTACCAAGCATCTCAAATTTTATTAAATAGGTTATAACTTACACGCTATTTTGAATGCCAGTTTAAAATCCATTCCATACTTGATTCGTTCCTGCATGTGATGAAAGTGCGCTGCAATTGTTAATAAATGTAAACAACAAAACTTAAAAACTGAAAGTATTTACGTACCAACTCCAAAAAATAGAGGACAGATTAACACGGCTGTCATTGGCGGAAAACATTGGAGGAGCAAAGGCAACATGCAACTCCTATACGTGAATTCCTCGGAAAAAGGAGCGACTAAGTGGTTTCTTAACCAGATCAAATTTTTAAAATTACTTATCCAGTACATGGGTTCAGTGTATAATTTTAGAAGACCATTGTGTACTTTCATGGCAATGGGTCCCAAGAAGAGGACCATAGTTAAAAACAAAGGCATAATGAAGGCCTGACATAGTCCCATAGTTTTCAGTCCCATTAGTTCAGCTAAAGTCGTCTACAAAGAAATCGATAATTTATTATGGTCGAGATTACTTTTCTGTTGGTACTTTTTCTAAAATTTGGTTGCTTATTCCCATATAGAGAAAACATGGTGACAAAAAAAGCATGACGAACACACTCAGGAATCTTCTTTTTATTGTGGAAGGATGGTCTCTGAAACAAAAAAATATTTTAGAAAGGGTAAGTACAGTACTGTAGCTTAATTTATTTTTTATTACAGAAATATCATTTTGAAGACACTCGTGAAAGTAAATAAAAACCTTGAAGTTAGAAGGAGTAAAAAATAAGCAACATAATAAAACTAAAATGTATACCTACATATTTCTAAAATTCAAAATAAAAGTCAATATCTTCCATAAAAATATTAATGGTGTGCCATAAGTCCATAACAGATAGTTCAAAGTATTAAATTTTAGACATTTTAAAATTATTCAAAAATTTAAACCAATTGGCAGAAAGTCATATTTCAGTTGGAATTAATTTTGTTATATTATTTTATACAGTTTTTAATTTAAAGTTTTTATAAGTTAAATTTTAAAACATGTGCGTTTTCCAGGTGTTTGCTTCTAGTATTTATGAAGAAGAATGGTGAATGTGTACCTTTTGTACATATTGGGGTGTACTAAAACTACCTGACTGCTTTCAAAGGAATTTTCCATTATATTGTTAGTTCCTTGTGAATTTCGACTTGAAACTGTTTCAGTATTGAAATTATGAGACCTAAATATGCAGAAAGGAAATACGTGGACCAACGGTCCATAAATAAGTAGTGAACAAAAGTGGTAATTGTTTCTTCAAGACTTATGTAACAGGGGTGTCTAAAAATACAACTTCAAAGTTTATTTTTTATATAACAACTTAATAATTTGCATATGATTAACACAACTCTGTACCTTTTTCTTTTGGGTGTTATATCGTATAAAATTTGATTTCAATTTTTCCATACCAGTAACATTGACCTAGAACTATCTGTAAGCACGGAATGACGGATTAAAATTGTAAGTAAATTTTAAGTCCTGCAGTGATAAAGATGACACCCAGCTGTATTGATTTGGAACAGCTTTATTATACTTTGCATAATATCGTAACTGAAAAATCAGATCAATTATTTTCAAATTTTACATACCGAGGACCTGAACAATCAAATGGATACCTGGGAAAGGACGTAGACGAAAAATGATTAACATAATCTAGGGTTCGGTCAAAGGTTGTGGATTATATGTATAATTGTATATATATAACAACCGTACGTCTACACGAAGAGAAATGTTAAGATCCAAGATTTGATAATCATTTATTTCCAGTTGACTTTGATCTCTTTAGAGAAGTGATTGTGAAAATGTTTAGCACACCATAAATCTCGATTGCATTAGTTTTTTAATTTTTAATTTGCTGAAAAAAAAAGATGTTTTTTTGACCAAAGCCAAATTTCATTTTTTTGGCTTAGAATACGATAATGCAGATTTTCCGTTTCTGAATACATACTTTAAAAGTTATATCAAAATACTGTTAATTAAATTTCAGTTTAAATGTGTTCCTAATTTTTAATTGTACAACCCTTACACTTATTGGCAGTGTTCGTTATATTTCGGCAATGGTAACTTATTTTTTTATATCTATTACCAACGTGTAGAGTATCGAATATTCGGACAAATAAGTATGCGGTATTTTATCTGCTTCAAACACGAAGAAAGTTAAACGTTCTTTACTTAGATACGGAGATGATCAGCTTAATTTATTTTCTAAAAAAGTCAGAGCAAAGACAATTAATTAAACATTAGACACTATTAAAATGAACCTACTATATTTATAAATTTATACAAATACAAAAAAAAATTATAGACTAAAAAATATACGGGTGTCATCTAGATTCTTACACTGTTGCTGGAATTATCTATATTTCTTTTGAAGTATAGAGATTAACGTAATAAAGTTTCGAAAAATCAAATTGTATAATTTTCCACAATTGAGCTTGAGCTGGATATGGTTGAGCTTAATTTTTGGCTTGTTTTTTTCTTCATATACATCGTATTTTTTTGAACAACACGATACTCAAAAACATGTTTTTTATTTCTTGTAGAGAAATAAGGATTTTGCAATTAAGCTCCGCCCCCTTGGCTCACGACGAATAAAAAAATCATCACAATTGAGATAGGGCGGGTGGGAGGGGCTTATATTTTGCCTGTCTTTCTTAATGTGTACTTATCTTTTCACAACAAGAAACTTAAAGCATGTTTAAAATGGTAAATTTGTATAGGGAAATATGACAACGAATGAAAAATTCATCAGGATTGAAATCGACACGGATGGGTAGGGCGTCTTTTTCGGTTTTCTTTTTTAACTAATATATTTAGTTTTCTTTGTATAACACGATTACTTAAAAACATACTTCACATGGTATTTTCTCGTAGAAAAATAAGGAATTATTACAAATTTAGCTCCAACCCTCGGCATACGACGAATAAAAAAATTCATCAGAATTGAGAAGGGCGGGTGGGCGGGGCTGAGATTATACCTTCTTTTTTCTTAATATACATAGCCATCTTTTCACAACACGAAACTTAGAACATGGTTAAAATAGTACAATTTTGCAAGGAAATATGGCAATTTTGTGGCGGAGCCTAATTGCAAAATCGATATTTCCTTATACAAATTTTTCATTTTAAATATGTTTTAAGATTCATGTTGTGAAAAGAAGTCTACACATATTAAGAAAAAAAGGCAAAGTGTAATAACAATATTTCCAACAGTTGCCTTCCGGGGGCGGAAAAACATCATTAAATTTCAAATGGACTAATAATACTGTTACTGGACCAAGACTCTTAAAGAATTAATCCACAATTATTGAAATGTTTACACCTTACGAAAATAAACAAGTCCAAATATTTTATATCATAATACCGTGTGATCAGAAATGACTGAGTCTGTTGGAGATCCTGGATTTTAGTTGAAATTGGTATTATGATGTTTTCTTTAATTTCCGGTTGTCAGCTGTCAAGATTGACAGAATGTTGACATTTTTAAAATTTTCAAAATGTATCCAAAACATAATCTAAATTTATCGCATGTCCCTACTGACACAGCTGTCACAGAATTACTTCCGTTTGACTTAGGGCCGGTTGCATAAACGCAAATCAAATTTGATCTCTGATTAACTCCATAGTAACGATTGTTATTATCATAGTTACAATTGTTCTTAATCAGAGATTAAATCTGATTTGCGTTTATGCAACCGGCCCATAGTTTGCTCACTATTTAGTCACAAGATATGTGTATAGAAAACTAGAGACATGCAGTTAAAGCAGTAAAAAATTATTCCTTGTCGCCTCCAAGCTCCAAGTTTGTTAAAGTCGTGGAATTAGCCCAAGTCAAACTTTTTTCTTCCTATCTCATGCATGTTAAAACTATTATTTATATTATTAATTCTCAAACAAAAAAAAAATATCTTAAGGTTCAGCGTTTCCTTAGATCTTACAATGAAAATATTTTGTGACTAAACTAAACAAATTATATTATAAATGTGTTAGATGATTTGAAATCGAAGGAAAAAGTAAAACACAATTGGTTGCCGAGATGTTAAAAAAAAATTGGAATTTACATTAAGAAATATCCATAACAATAATTTGTAATATATGAGAAAACTCGTACGATACATAACTATAAAAGTCACATTTTAAGGAATTTTGACTGGGGGTATTTCCACGAGTAGAGTATACAAAACTTTATATATTTTTTGCATAACACAAAAAACGGTGTCATTTCACGTTTCAAAAGACTTATAATACACTTCGTCCTTTGCTTATTAAAATAAAAAAAATGAAAATTTTAAAAGTTCGAGTCATTTAATTTGTTATCGAGTGTACAGTAACCACAACTCTAAACTGTACTGTACTGTTACGACGTCGGACCGGCGGAACGACAGGGGAACGCGACGTGAGGGACGTATGTTGCAAGCCTGCTCGTTCCACCAAGTGAAACAAAAAAAGGTCGCGCGGGTGATGAAAATCGCTATCGGTAGATTTTACCTGTTGTGTGGAGACTTCCAAACGTGCAGACTGGCCACGTAAGTGACGGACAAAAGCAGGCATATCCCGATGGAAACCAAACAATTAAAAATTCCATAGAAATCCTGCACCATTCTGACATTTTAACGGTCACGTGAACGCTAGGGCCGCTCCGATTGGCCGTCCGCTCCGTGGTGTCGGAACGGTAGTGAATATGGCCGCCAGTGCGAGCTCCCGTGTCTCCTTTGTTTAGAGACTTGTTTGCTGTGGTGCTAGTGCTAGAAGATGCCGAGCGCCTCCTTCACGGCCTCCAGGTCGTACGTGCGGAGGTCCCGCAGGAAGGGCGCCAACAGGATCCCCACGCCCTCGAGGACCACGTCTGGTGAGTAGCCCGAAAGCTGCTCGACCCGAATCCGTCGCGAGCCCCACTGTTCTAGAACGCAAAAACTGCCCGAAAACGGTTATTTTTGCTAGACGGGGCCCAGCGATCGATCCGGGATTTTGGTTTTGTTGCACCAGGGACGGGCCTCGTTTTATTTGTCAAAACGGCCGCACAAATGTCAAACCCATCTGCATAAAAATAACAGGGCAGCCCACATAACAGATAAACATATACCGACACAGAGCAACCCAAATAAGTCGCCGGACACACATTTCCAGATAACGATTTTATCTTTCCGATTTGTAAACATCCGCGGGGGCATTCGATGCCGCCCCCCTGGAACACGCCTCGCGGCTTTGTTGCAGAAACTACCCTGGATATTGGCTGACAGATTGGAAAATTTCGCGATCATATCTGGGGCTCCTGCACCGTTAAACTTCATATTCACGGAGGCAACCCGTCGTTGGCCATTGCCACAAGAGATTAGATACATCAGGGTCAATGTCAATTAAAAATATTTACAAAAATACTAGCCCCCTTTTCAAAGGTGCTCATCATTTTCACGCACAACTTGACAAGCATATAATGTAAATTTCAGTTTAAAAACCAAGGACAAAAAATAACATTTACGTATTGAGAATAATCGCTTTCAAGTTTTTTTCTCATGTCCTGAAGATACTTTCAAAATTCATAGAGTGCCACAGTTTTAATTACCTAACCTATGTTATCAGTAAACCTAACCTAAAACTGTAACATTCTAGACTAGAATCACATCCAAAATCTTATCACTGCAACTTTAATTGGAAGGATTGGTGCCCAAAACCCGGGTTTCTTACTATTTTACGAAGCTGTAATCAGAAACTGGCCATGCCTACCGGGTTTCAGTGCCTTATCGATTTCTGTGAAGTTTAAAACCCCCAAATTGCTTTTTAATAATGTTATTGGAACGTTGATGAAAACAAGTTTTTTTAGCTTTATCAACAGGGCCTAAACCCGGCATGGAAACAACTGCGTTCAGTTGTGCTATATGTTACCATAAACTCTTGTTTTTCGTCATTGGAATAAAATGAGTTGTGGTGATGGGTACAAAAAACAAGACAGCTCGAAATATAAAAAGTTTGAGTATAGTTTCCCCAGTTCTAATTCGGTTTTATGATAGTACCCCATTGTGCAAAAGTCAACAACAGATTACTACTGCCGGTGATGGGACAGTCATAAATAAGGATTTAACCATACCGTTACCTTTGTACAGTATAATGGTTAAATCCTTATTTATGACAGTCCCATTACGGGCAGTAGTAATCTATTATTAAGTACGTCATAAAACCGAATTAGAACTGGAGAAATAATAATTATTGAATTTTGTCCGCCAAGAAGCTTAATTAATAATAATATTAATAGATTAACTATAAACATATGAGATATTAAACAACACGAAAATAGATGATGCACAAACAGTCATGTGTAAAACAACAAAAATATCACGTCAAAATTAAAAACAAACTAGTCCGACATTGTTCAGCAGATAGAGAACACAAACATTGGACTCTCGTTTTGTTGCCCCTCTTCGATTCAGAAAACTGGCAGCGGGAGTTCACAAATTTTAACTTGTGTGTATGCACGCACCACTATCAAAATAAGGTTCATTTCTGAATACATCGGATCCGTTCATCCAAATCGATTGCAGACATTATGCTAAGATGTTTAGTGTCCGTCTCCATGAATCACGTTTACCTGCACCACTGATCATTCCTAATAACAAAATGTAAATTCTTTGAACCAGCGTGATTTTTTTTGCAAACATTTCACTTGTTTGTGTGTTGGTACAAAATTTAGCTAGAGGTTGGTTCATGAATGAAACAAGTATTTTAACTTTACTGATAACATATAATTAACGTAATGTGCCATTTTTTAACCTAGTAAATAAATCATTATTTTTATAATCGATGGAAAGAGACAGCTTGCTTGTTTTCTAGGGATAAATAATTCAGGCAACGTCTAGTAAATAAAAAAAAAAAAATAATTGTCATACTAGATTTTTTTTTTTTTAAACTACAGCCTTCTGTTTGCTCCCACCATGACGTGAAAATTACTATTGTAAAGTGCTCTACGATTATAAATCGCTGTAACCGTCTTCCAAAAATATTTTGTGAGGTGTACGACATGATGTACCTGCCAAGTTCCAGGCAAGGCGCCTAGGTCAATCTGTAAAGATGTATCGGTGTTTTGTTGGGTTGGTTTAAAAAAATCACTTGATACATGAGTTTGGGTGATATCTAAAAATAAATGTAAGCAAGTACAGTATTCAAAACAAGTTATACATAGCTAAAGCTCTAATTTTCGCTTTTAAAAACATCCTTCCATAAATTCATTTTTTTCAAGGTTGTTCACATGTGATTATTGAATGTCAGCTGAAAAGTATTTTCGAAACTTGTGTATCTTTTAAACAGTAAATGATTAATTTATTTTTTGCAAATTGTATGAAACGTAGTTATGCGAAATAATTGATTAAAAAACCGTTTTGTCACATTTAAAAATAAAGATGTTTGATTTTAATTTTCATAAAATCGTCTGACGAGTTATACCAGGCAAATAATGTGGTGATATACAAAGTGATTCAGCTTCAGTGACGTACTTGTCCTATTCGTTCAGTTTTGTTTGTTAAATCGAGACTATGTGGCTAATCTACCATTTTTTATAAGACACTTTGTATGTTGAGTTGCCTATTAGATAGAGGCAAGTGGGTCATTTTAGTTGAATCAGCCTGTATAATAAAAAAAGTCTACAAACACAATGCAACTTATTAAAGTCACTGCACACTTGCTAATGTTAAAATTAAAAAAAAAATTAACTCGATATTTTTTCTATTCATTTATTGTGTTCAATTTTTTATTTCCTTACCATGGGCCAGGAAAATGTAATAGGGTCCATTTGACAAATAACCAATTTTATGTTTTCTCGAGGAATCATAACTCTAGAACAGGAAAAAATAGGTCTCTCGTTTCCGGTTGTCTGTCGTCTATTGACGATTGTATGAGACAGATATTCTCCGAAACTGCTGACTAAAATTTGTGTTTGTTGCCTCCAAAAACTTGATTAACTGTGTCATTGTAATGAATTTATTTTGATAAATAATGATAAAAAAATAAAATAAAATTTTCACAGTCACCTTTGTTTTATTTTCGTTACTTCAGACATTGCTTAACAGAGCCAGAAAGCTACTGGAATCAGTGTTAAAGAGCCACCGTGATAATATGATGGTGATAACTGTCAATATTTTTGTAATTGGTATGGTATTTTGTTAACGGTGGGAGTAATCAGACTTGGCATCATTTATTATACAATTACTAAAATTAATTTGTGATTATGAATATTTCTTTATTTTCGTTGCTTAGTTACAAAATGTGATGCCACTCAGCATTTACTAATGATAAAAAAAATCGCATAAAGTTACATATCCAGATCGAACCGAAAATAGATTTTTCTTTTGTTGGCCGTATTTTTAACGTTTTCAATTTATTTTTTTGGTATAACTTCGTTGACGGACACCACATAAACAAAACGTATGCCAAAAATTGACGTCCAACTTTATCATACATTCAAACAAAAATCTTGCGGTTGCTTTCCGAAATTAACTCAGCATTCTTAACTATTTTCGAATTTGTTGTTAATTACCTGTGACTGTTCGTTTGGCTTGATCTAATTTTGTAATTGTTTCGCAGCAGAGCCATGTGAACCTTCCTGTCCTGTACCTAACCAAAACATTCCAGCACCTACGGCAGCCGCTCCGGGCTCGGGGGGGCCTTCAGCACTGGCCCCTGGGAGCAGCGGCGGTGCCATTCCAGCCCATCACTCTCCCTACGACCTTCGACGTAAGTCTCCGTCCCATCACGACGGTCCAGGGCCCAGCACTAGCGCAGCAACCGCCGGATCGCCGACGTCGCCGGCAACCCCAACGGCACCCGCCCAAGGATACACTTCTGCCATGCTTCCGGCAAGGAAACGTCCTAGACGGACGTGCTCCGCTTCGTACGAAAGTGAGTGAGGCTTGTCTCGGTTAATGTGAGATTAGAAAGGAGAACTATGATTATGTTGTTAATTAGGTAAAGAGCAAATGAGCATTCCGATTTTTTTGTTTGGTTTTTCGTCAATTACAAGGTCGATTCTTTGAAGTTTGGATTATAGCATAGATGACACAATCCAATAAACGCGTTATTTCAGCTTTTTCTGAAGAAATAGTTGAGAATAATTATCCCAGCAGCGAGTTAGAATTAAATGAAATGAGAACAGTCATTGAGATGATCATTATTATTACACCATATACCTAAGGGCTCGCCGGATTTACAATATATGGTTAACGCTGCTGATTAAGGAACGTATGGTTAGCAACCTAATTCTCTTAGTTAAACAATCAAACATTTTTAAGTTTTGCTTGTCAATTGCGCATACGGAGGCCTGCAATGTATGTTATCATTTTTTATCTGATAACAGAAACCGTGTTTTCACAGAGACCACGAGACTGCAAGAGACTGGTAATGATTTTTAGGCGTAGGCAGAACACGTAGAGACGATGGTACATACCGATTTTTTATGTTTACGTTGTCAATCGATTTCAGGGTCTAGACGCAGCACCATCTAGACGACGCCACAAGAGTTAAAGTCTGTCACGGATAACGTTTGCTAGGTTTCGTCCAACTTCGTTCGTTGTCTTTCGACTTTACTTGAATGAAAAATTACGAATACAGTTGAAATTCAACGATCGGATATTGAACGACATATTCAATTTTCGGACAGTTTATTCGCTTCGACCTCGACGTGTTCACTAAATGTGAAGACTATCCCACGAGTAGTAATAATAGTTTGACGGTTGACATACTTAACTTCATAGATATCCGCTGATAGAAGGCCTATTCAGAAAAAAAGTTATTTTTTAACGTTTTGAGTAATTGACATCTAGTGCATTATCCATGATAAACTCAACTAGAGGGCGACACTTACCCAAACCATAGCCTACTTTACAGGTTTACGTACGTCTTTGGAAGTGGGATGGCCGTTTATTTGTTAATGTATAGGAATGAAATTAGCAGTTGATAGAAGTGATTCAGTCACTTTTCAATTACTTTTTGCAATCAATTTTAACCCAAATACTCAAAAATATTTTGTTTTTCTCTACGAATCGTTTACCTGAGCTGTTGGGATAATTATTATACCTGGTTCGTCCCCACAAAGAGAAGATTAACCCGGTAGGGAGTTAAAATCTAAAACGAGTTTAGCACAGAATTTGTTAAGAAACCAGGTAATCATAATATACATAACTCTTCATCATTTTAAGGGTGAGCTAAAGCATATTACATCATACATATAAATAAACTTCACACCGTTGAAATGGGCGTAAAAAACAATACCCACACTGCTTTTCCGTTTTTTTAAATTTTCTTGTCAAAAAAAACTACAACGCGTTAAAATTGTGAATATGAGATTATCTGGTTTTCGCTATTTATGGATCAATTTTAAATTTTCAAAAAGGTACAATATGTAGTAGAAATTGTATTAAAAAATCCATTGCGCTTTACAGAAATAAAATATCTTCATAAATAATTGAGTAAACAGGGACAAAATATTTAAAATTTGTGGTCAAACAAACTTTCTGGTACATTTAAATATATAACATGTAACCAATAGAGCCCGTTCTTTTACCCCCTCATAAGGCCCATTTTGGCAAATGACCTACTCTTCTAAGAAAAGGTACTAGCCCCGCCCACCCACCCTTTTTTTTTAGAAGAGTGGGTCATCTACCAGTATCAGTCTTATCTTAACAGGTACTAGCCCCGCCCACCCACCCTTGTTTTCTTAGAGGATATGTCATTTGCAAAAATCAGTCTCATACTTGCCAAGATAAGACTGATTTTGGCAGATGACCTGTTCTTTATTTTCTTAGAAGAGTAGGTCATTGGCCAAAATGAGTCTTATTTTGGCAAATACTAGCCCAGCCCACACGCCCTTTGTTTTCTTAGAGAGTTTATCATTTGCCAAAATCAGTCTTGTCATAGCGAGTACTACCAAATTTTTCAGTTTTTCGATTTTTTTATTTCTCGCTTTTTTTTTTGATCTGTCTTTCGATTTTTGATTTCTCTGGTCAACTGAAAAAACCTTCGATTTTTTAATTTTACAATTCTGGCAGTTTTCCGAGTTCTCAATTATTTGTTTTTTAAAAATATCGAGAAAATAGATGTTTATTTTTTTTTTATTTTCGATTTTTTAATTTTTTTTCACCGAGTTTTTGGAAGGGAGTAAAAACTAATTTTGATCAGCGATTGGCATGTTTACTGGAACTCTCAAACATCTGAAAATTTTGTTTCTAATTTTCGGTTTTTGGATTTTTCGATTTTCAAAATTTCGGTTCGAATATTTGTTCTTTTAGTTAAAAATCGAAAATGACAAATCGTGAAAAGGAAAAATTTTAACTTGAGAACTTGAAAAAATAAAAATCAAAAGATTGGAATAAAAAAACTACTAAATTGTCAAACAACTTATCAAATGAAATATTCAAAAGTTGAAAAATCTAAAAACTAAAAAAAAAATGAAAACTGGAATTTCGAATTCGATTTTGTAAGATTTGTTTTTTTTTTAATTTTTCGATATTTCAGTTTTTGATTTTCTGATTAAACAGTTGGACAATTAATTTTCCGATTTCTCGTTTATCCAATTTTTCAATTTGTAATTTTTTTGATTTTTAAGTTTGTTTTATTTTTAACAAGTACTAGCTCCACCCACCCAGCCTTTATTTTCTTAGAAGAATAAGTCGTCTGCCAAACTCAGTCTTATCTTGGCAAGTACTATCCCCCCGCCCACCCTCCCTTATTTTCTTAGAGGATGTCGTTTGCCTAAATCAGTCTCATCTCGACAAGTACTGGCCCCACCCACCCACCCTTTATTTTCTTGGAAGAGAGGGTCATCTGCCAAAATCAGTCTTATCTTGACAAGTACTAGCCCCGCCCGCCCACCCTTATTTTCTTAGGGGATATGTCATTTGCAAAAATCAGTCTCATACTTACCAAGATATGATTGATTTTGACAGATGACCTGTTCTTTATTTTCTTAGAAGACTAGGTCATTGGCCAAAATGAGTTAGAGGGTAGGTTATCTGGCAAGTGCTAGCTCCACCCACCCGCCCTTTGTTTTCTTAGAGAGCTTATCATGTGCCAAAATCAGTTTTATCGTAGGGAGTTCTACCAAATTTTTCAGTTTTTCGATTTTTCAATTTCTCGCTTTTTAATTTTTCAACTTTTTGATCTGTCTTTCGATTTTTGATTTCTCTGGTCAACTGAAAAAAACCTTCCATTTTTTAATTTTACAATTTTGGCACTTTTCCGATTTCTCAATTATTTGATTTTTAAAAAATATAAGAAAATAGATGTTTATTTTTTTTTAATTTTCGATTTTCGAATTTTTGTCACCGAGTTTTTGGAAGGAAGTAAAAAGCAATTTTGATCAACGATTGCCATGTTTATCAGAACTTTAAAACATTTGAAAATTTTGTTTCTAATTTTCAATTTTTGGATTTTTCGATTTTTCAAAATTCGGTTCTTTTAGTTCAAAAATCGAAAAATGACAAATCGTGAAAAGGAAAAATTTTAACTTGAGAACTTGAAAAATTAAAAATTTCAAAATTGTAAAGTTAAAACTTGAAAAATCAAAAGATTGGAATAAAAAACTGCTAAATTGTTAAACAACTTATCAAATGAAATATTCAAAAGTTGAAAAATCTAAAAATTAAAAAAAAAATTAAAACTGGAATTTCGAATTCATTTTTATAAGGTTTTTTTTTTTCAATTTTTCCATATTTCAATTTTTGATTTTCCGATTAAACGGTTGTACAATTTTCCAATTTCTCATTTATCCAATTCTTCAATTTGTCATATTTTGATTTTTAAGTTTTTTTTTTATTTTTAGCAAGTACTAGCCCCACCCACCCAGCCTTTATTTTTTTAGAAGAATAAGTCGTCTGCCAAACTCAGTCTTATCTTGGCAAGTACTATCTCCCCGCCCACCCTCCCTTATTTTCTTAGAGGATATGTGATTTGCCAAAATCAGTCTCATTTTGACAAGTACTGGCCCCGCCCGCCCACCCTTTATTTTCTTGGAAGAGAGGGTCATCTGCCAAAATCAGTCATACCTTATCAAGTACTAGCCCCGCCCGCCCACACTTATTTTCTTAGGGGATATGTCATTTGCAAAAATCAGTCGCAACTCTAATAGCTGCTAAGAGAAGACTGATTTTATCTAATGACGTATCCTCTGAGAAATTTGATTAAATTATTATAAGAAAAGACACTAGAGGCTCCAAAGAACTTTCGAATTCTTTCCAAGCAGGAATACCTAGACCTCAAGATTGTTTAAAATGATAATTTTTCTTTTTTTTTTTAATTAATTGGCCCAATTTTGATATTCTTTATCAATAATCTGTTTTTCTTCATTATTTCGAAAAATACATACATAAATAAATACAGATCTGTCATTTGGAAAAAAATTCTGTTAAAAATAAGTTTTTCAGACAAATTTGACAAATTAAAAAAAAAAGTGTAAATTGGGTTGGTAATTAATTTTGAAACCGTTTATTTCGTGAATTTGGAAAAAACTTTTTCGTGAAATAAATCAGTTCGGGAAAAAGACACGATTTTTTTCAAGATGTCCGAAGATCTTAATATAAATAAACCCACCACTAGAAATTTACAAAAATTTCAAATATTCCTGATATTCCCAAACTTTAGAAATTCTAGAGATTGTGATGATTCGAAATTTAAGATTATAAATGAAGATACTTTCTGAAATTTCTGGAGATTCACAGTATTTGGAAGATTGAAGATTCCAAAAAATTTGAAGACTAAAGATACAAATTATTCTAAAGTTTTATTTGTCTACTTCCAAATTTTTCTCGACCTTTCGTTTCTTCAATTTCTCGATTTGCAGTTTTTCAATTTTGGAATTCTTTTTTCGTTTCCTCGATTTTTCAGGTTTTTGATTTCCGATTTTTAAATTTTTCAAAGTGTTCATTTTATACTTTTTCGTTTTTTCATTTTTGATTTTTCAGATTTACAATTTTGCAATTTTTCGATAATATAATTTTTCATTTTTCGATTTTTCAGTTTATTTCAATTTTATCATTTTTCTTTCTTCGATTTTTCTTCAATTTTCAATATTTCGATTTTTCGATTTTGCACTTTTTCAATTTCTAAATTTCTCAATTTCGAAGCATTCAATTTTTCACTTCTTCAATTTTTCAAGCTCTTAATTTCCGATTTGTAGGTTTTGCGATTGCCATGTTTACCGAAACTTTAAAACATCTGAAAATTTTGTTTCTAATTTTCAATTTTTGGATTTTTCGATTTTTCAAAATTCCGTGCTTTTAGTTAAAAAATCGAAAAATGACAAATCGAGAAAAGGAAAAATTTTAACTTGAAAACTTGAAAAATTAAAAATCAAAAAATTTCAAAATTGTAAAGTTAAAACTTGAAAAATCAAAATATTGGAATAAAAAACTGCTAAATTGTCAAACTTATCAAATGAAACATTCAAAAGTTGAAAAATCTAAAAACTAAAAAAAAATGAAAACTGGAATTTCGATTTGTTTTTTTTTTTCAAATTTTCGATATTTCAGTTTTTGTTTTGATTTTCTGATTAAACAGTTGGATAATTAATTTTCCGATTTCTCATTTATCCAGTTTTTCAATTTGTTATTTTTTTGATTTTAAAGTTTTTTTATTTTTATCCAAGTACTAGCCCCACCCACCCAGCCTTTATTTTCTTAGAAGAATAAGTCGTCTGCCAAAATCAGTCTTATCTTGGAAAGTACTATCCCCCCGTCCACCCTCCCTTTTTTTCTTAGAGGATATGTTATTTGCCAAAATCAGTCTCATTTTGACAAGTACTGGCCCCGCCCACCCACCCTTTATCTTCTTGGGAGAGTGGATCATCTGCCAAAATCAGTCTTATCTTAACAAGTACTAGCCCCGCTCACCCACCCTTACTTTCTTAGAGGATATGTCATTTGCAAAAATCAGTCTCATACTTGCCAAGATAAGACTGATTTTGGTAGATGACCTGTTCTTTATTTTCTTAGAAGAGGAGGTCATTGGCCAAAATGAGTCTTATTTTGACAAATACTAGCCCCACCCACCCGCCCTTTGTTTTCTTAGAGAGCTTATCATTTGCCAAAATCAGTCTTACCAAATTTTTCAGTTTTTCGATTTTTCAATTTCTCGCTTTTTAATTTTTCAATTCAAGTTTTTGATCTGTCTTTGATTTTTTATTTCTCTGGTCAACTGAAAAAAACTTTCAATTTTTTAATTTTATAATTTTGGCAATTTTCCGATTTCTCAATTATTTGATTTTTAAAAATATCGAAAAAATATTTAAAAATTTTTTTTTATAGATGTTTATTTTTTTTAATTTTCGATTTTTTTATTTTTGTCACAAGAGTTTTTGGAAGGGAGTAAAAAGTAATTTTGATCAGCGGTTGCCATGTTTACTGGAACTTTAAAACGTCTGAAAATTTTGTTTCTAATTTTCAATTTTTGTATTTTTCGGTTTTTCAAAATTCGGTTCTTTTAGTTAAAAAATCGAAAAATGACAAATCCTGAAAAGGAAAAATTAAAAAGAAAAAAATTGCAAAATTTGTGAAGTTAAAACTTGAAAAATCAAAAGATTGGAATAAAAACTGCTAAACTTATCAAATGAAATATTCAAAAGTTGAAAAATCTAAAAACTAAAAAAAAAAAATGAGAACGGGAATTTCGAATTCGATTTTATATATATATTTTTTTTTTAATTTTTCGATATTTCAGTTTTTGATTTTCTGATTAAAGAGTTGGACAATTAATTTTCCGATTTCTCATTTATTCAATTTTTCAATTTATTTTTTTGATTTTTAAGTTTTTTTATGTTTAACAAGTACTAGCCCCACCCACCGAGCCTTTATTTTCTTAGAAGAATAAGTCGTCTGCCAAACTCAGTCTTATCTTGGCAAGTACTATTCCCCCGCCCACCCTCCCTTATTTTCTTAGAGGATATGTCATTTGCAAAAATCAGTTTCATACTTTGCCAAGATATGATTGATTTTGGCAGATGACCTTTTCTTCTAAGATAATAAAGGGTGGGTGGGCGGGGCTAGTGCCTTTTCTTAGAAGAGTAGGTCACTTGTCAAAATAACTCTAATTGTAATTTGTAATTGCAGTGAATTATTATTGATACTGAATAATGAGTAATTGTAATCCATTACTTTTTAAAAGTAATTGTTCCATTCACTCGAAATTAGTGTGTTAAAAAATGTTCATTTTCCCATTGGAACACAATGGAACAGAATACAGATAATTTTAGGCCTTTATAATGTGCTAATGATTATTTGTGTCATTAATAGTATCTAGAATGTGAACAATTTTGATATTCGGTATTTAAATTTATAACAAAAAAAAAAGTTCACAAGGTAACATGTAAAGTTTAAAAAAACGTAATTACAACTTCAATGCAAAAGAACTAGACTTTTCACAATAAAACTGTTATATTTAGATGCAGAAAGATATTAAATTGTTGTTAAATGCAGCCATAAAAAATAAAAATTGTTGATTTGGAACTAACCTGTTGGAACGAACAAAAACAAGTAGAATAATTAATTAATTGCATAATTAATAGTACAACAATCCACTGCTATTGAAAAAGTTGCAAAAATTACACAATGCGGTGATAACACAAGCAGTGACTGTGTAATGTTCTAAATAGAAATGTTTTTTATTTTATCGTCACAAAAAAATCGAATGCTATTTTGCCAAAAAAAAACCTTTCAGTTATTTTAAAGTAAAAAAATGTGTAAAATACCAAAAAATAAGTTACTTTTTTTGTAGATTGTACCAATACAGCAGCTCATTATTTGCAATATGAGCTCCCCGATGAAGTTTTGCTCACGATATTCAACTACTTACTCGAACAAGATTTGTGTCGCGTCAGTCAGGTTTGCAAGCGTTTCCAGGCAATCGCCAACGATACCGAAATCTGGTAAGTTGCAGTCGACAATTCGAATAAGATTTCTAATGTTTCCACATTTCCCGTTCTCCAGGAAGCGCCTGTATCAGAGCGTCTATGAATATGATCTGCCATTATTCAATCCCGCACCTTGCGTTTTCCAATTCATAAGTCCCGAGGAGTCAGATTTAGCAAATCCTTGGAAGGAATCGTTCCGGCAGTTGTATCGAGGCATTCACGTCAGACCGGGTTACCAAGATTTAACGTTTAAAGGAAGAAATCTTGTCTATTTCAATACAATTCAAGCGGCATTAGATTATGCAGACGAGCGTAGTGGTAGTAACGGTACAACCGGATCGGTTTCTGGATCCAGTGGACATTCGGAAGGCACTAATCAAGGAGCTTTAATTTTTCTTCATGCTGGAACTTATCGCGGAGAATTTCTCGTTATTGACGATTCGGATATAGCTTTGATTGGTAGGTATCACTTAAAATGTAAGTCAACCACAAAAAATCTCGTTGATACTGTTAAACTTTTTAGTCTGATTTGTAAGTAGAATAATTGGAGAGAGAATTTGTTGTATCCACATGAAAGTATCAGTAAGCGCCAATTTCCAATTCGTCTTTTAATTTCAACCTTGATTTTTTTGATTAGTTTCAAGGTTTTCAGACAGTTTAATATTCATACATTTTTTCTTTTCATGTTTAGTTAACTAGCCACGTTTGAACTGACATTTGACCCATTTTCTTTACCAATTATTATTAATGTTTATATATTTTCACTTTAATATTTCCTTTGAAAATGCTATTAGATTTTCTAGCAGAGAAATACGTCTAAATGTGTTTAAATTAAGAATGCGATTCTAAAGAAGAAAAGAATCTCAGAACAAAAAAAAAGTATTTGTCTAGTAATAAAATATTTTAACTCAAAAGTTAGAGAGCCGAAATCAGTAAAACAGTAAACTATACAGATGATCGCATCTGGGCGTTCGTCAAACGTTGAACAGGGGCGTATTTATTGTAGTTTATAATAAATTATAGGAACAAGATTGTTCAAGAATCGACGGCCCAAGTAATAGATTTTAAAATTGTATTAGTATACAAAAAAATTTGCATGTAATTTGCCCCTGAACTAACAAGAATTATTTGCCTATGTGAACAGCAATCCAAGCGAACGGCACATGCTAAGTTTAACATTCTTGAATGAAATACGCGCTTTTTTCTATTTTTATTTCGAAATAGTTTAAGATTATTTGCAATTAAAATGATTTACGTCAAACGAGTTAAATTGGTTGTAATATTAAATTAGACTAGATAAGCTATTTTAATAGATTTTACATGAAATGACAAGCTAGAAAATCTTAATAATAATTGAAGAACTAACACCGAACCACAAAACGAGAAAATTACAAATTAGAAAAAATAAAAATTTTAATGTATAGCTTCAAGTTTTAATTTTAGTAGTGCAGAATCCCAATCAAAGTTTTTTTTTTCTTAAATTTCGTGTAATAGCAAATACCAATTAGCTACAATTACAAAAGTCATCGCACTGATTATGCTTAGTATCGAGTCCCAATGTCATCTAAAGAGAATGTCTCCTTGAAACAAATAACCGTTGATTGGACAAAAATAACATTTAATCAATAATTTGTCAAGTTTGTGCATGCCACATGGATAAAACTATTATTAAACCATATAAATAGTGCAAGAGTCCACAGAAACATTTATCAATTAGATCAAACATTATAAATAGAGATGAGACTATTATTACAAACATGTAGAATAGAAAAAATAATATTTGCATTTTTCTAGTTCGAAAATATTATTCACATTCTAATCAACAGTTATGTTTGCCGTGAGTCCGAGATACTACTACGCATGCAACAAATTATTGAGAACACATTATACAGTATAAACCCAAACTGATCATAATTTTTAAAAATTTTTAGGTGCTGCTCCCGGAAACGTCGCTGAGTCGGTCATTTTAGAGCGAGAATCAGAATCAACAGTTATGTTTGTGGAAGGAGCCAAAAATGCGTACTGCGGCCATTTGACGTTGAAGTTTTCGCCAGACGTCACTTCGACCGTACCTCATCACAAGCACTACTGTTTAGAAGTAGGAGAAAATTGTAGTCCTACAATTGATCATTGCATCATTAGGAGTACCTCTGTGGGTACGTAGTATTTGCAGCTTACATATCGAGGATTCTATTGGTGTAAATTTCAGTCGGTGCAGCCGTTTGTGTTAGCGGTACTGGAGCTAATCCGATCATTCGTCATTGTGATATAAGTGATTGTGAAAATGTGGGCTTGTATGTAACTGACTTTGCGCAAGGAACTTACGAAGATAACGAAATCAGTAGAAACGCTTTGGCTGGTATTTGGGTTAAAAATAATGCTAATCCAATCATGCGCAGGAATCACATACATCACGGAAGGGATGTTGGGATATTTACTTTTGATAACGGAATGGTAAGTTTTTAACTGGTGGTTTATTTTGTATTGCAGCGTTTGGTGTAAATCAAGGAAAGAGAAGGTAATTTTGTAATTATTAATTGTTGTAATCAACACAGACTTAACATTCATTTGTGTCCACTAAAAAAATATGTTAGTTAGTCGACGGAGACCAATTCGTGAATTAATTAATGGCCTTTAAATATATGAGGTGTAAAATAAACAACGTTAGTAAATTGTCGCGCTCCAGTTATTTGATGACATTTTAATGTAGCTTCCAAATTTTATTATGGTTACAAAAGAATTATGTACTGTACGTTATGTATTACATTTTGAATTATTTCTAACCTGCTCCGGTTTTTTTAAGCGGTCTTCTACTGTGTACATTCCTGAAGTATGTGAGAACAACGTAAACTTTTGAACGTCACGTTCTTTTGTAAACACAACACTGTCAAGTATATTGCACAAAACATTACTTTTGCACGTTAAAATGTGGTAGTCCATACACGCTGGTGTAAATCACGATACAAATTCCAATACATAGAGACGCACTCAACAAACTAATAATAATTGTAGAAGTTGTTGACAACGCATTAAATTTTTGTATTTGAGTATTATTCATTGTGTTCTGTGCACACCCGGTAAAATTAAAATTTACACTAAACTGTATTGAGACACTGGATACTTACATATATATTCCGGTTATTTTTTGCGGTTGAAGTTCTAAGAATTCACTAATTATATGTTCAAATGTACCTATATACAATGTTTGTGTTTCTTATGTAACAAAATTCCCGGAGAAAAAAACTGTGATGATATAAAGTTTATAACGATTATTGATTTTAGAAATGACGTAGGGACTGGTTATAATTTACATATGCAAAATGCGAAGACTCCGTTGTTTTCTTGGTGACATCAAATATTTATTTTTTACAAACTCGTCTAAAGTAAGTAATAAGAGTATTCTAAACAAAATCAATATAAGCGACGTAACAAACAATTGGCTTACATAACTAACGGGATAAAATGACCTTCAGCACTACGAGTAGGTAATGGCAAATTGAGCTCAGTTATGTATGTTTATACATCGAAAGAGTGTCACGTAAAAATTGGTTTGATTTGAATGAGTTTGACTTCTCAAAACAGTTAATGTACCATAGGTACATCTATATAGTACACAAAACCTTTTGAAAATATAATCAAAAAATTATTTTTAAAAAACAAATTAGTTTTTAACAAAAACAATTGGATTAATTTTGTAATTGTAATTGAGGGAAGTAGTGGTTATATAAAAAGGTTTTCGTGTTACAAAAAGAAGCAACTAGAACCCGGTTTGAAAAAAAAAAAACAGATTTTTGTAAAATATCAAAATTCAGTTATTTAAAGAAACATTTTTTTTTTTTTTTGGATTTGTATTAGTTTTTCAATTTTTAATAGCGTTTTATATTTTATCGAGTTTTTTTAGTTTTCATTTTACATGTATTTTAACACATTCACAACTATGTTACTCCGTGTTATGTTTTATTGGGTAGTAAACATAATTTCTCTGTCCCCTAATATAATAGTAATAATAATAAAGGCCTTTATTAAACAAAAAGAGAGATATAGCAAATAAGACTTCTTCGAAAAATGATAAAATTTAACTCCTATAAGTAAAATAAATCGGAGCGGGTTCATAAACCACAAGTTAACGATTATGTTAATTTATAAAATTTAAATAGAATTTGCTATGCGAAATTTTTAGGTGACCTTATTAAAATGTTGGTGGAAATAATCGAAAAAATTTTTGTTATCGTTTTACCATCTGCACGATATTCTTAAAATTGAATAGCACCACAGATGGGAGACGATAGACAAATAGACAGAAACCGGAGATCTTTTTTTTTTTTTCAGTTCATACTCTGGTAGTCATTGAAACGTTGAGACAACAAAAGTTTAGGCTCGTGAACTAAAAAAAAAAAAAAACACAAGAAAATTAGTGTTTTATTAGTTGTAAATATGCTAAGTGACATAAAATTGTTTTAATATGTGTAGAATTCTTTGCACAACATGAAACTTAATACCATTTTAATCATGTTTTAAGTTTCTTGTTGTGAAAAGATGGGTATGTATACTAAGAAAAAAAGGCAAAATATGAGCCCCGCCCACCCACCCTATATCAAATGTGATGATTTTATTTATTCGTCGTGAGCCAAGAAGGCGTAGCTTAACTGCAAAATCCATCTACGAGAAATTAAAAACATGTTTTTGAGTATCGTGTCATTCAAGGAATACTATGTATATTAAGAAAAGAAAAAAACCAAAGATCAGAGCCCACTCATACCCGCCCCAATCTTAATTTTCAATTGTGATGAATTTTTCATTCGTTGTCAGATCGAGGGGCGGGGCTTAATTGCAAGATCCATATTCGTCTACACTACAACAGTTAACCATTTTATTAAACATGTTTTAAGTTTCTTGTTCTCAAAAAACGACTACGTATATTAGGAAAAAACACAAATATAACCTCCGCCCTAGCTCAATTGTGATGATTTTTTTTTTTTAATCGTCGAGAACCAAAAGAGCGGAATTTAATTGCAAAATTCTTATTATTTCTCTACAAGAAATTGCCATGTAAGACATGTTTTTGAATATCGTGTTATTTAAAGAATACCTACTATGTATGTGAAGAAAAAATTAAAGCCAAAGATTAAACTCCACCCATACCTGCCCTGATCCAAATAGTAATGTTTTCATTCGTTGCCAGACCGAGGGGCGGATCCTAATTGCAAAATCCATATTTCTGAAAAAATATACCATTTTAACCGTGTTTTAAGTTTCTAAGAATAAAAAAAATCACAATTAAGATAGGGTGAGTGGGCGGGCTTACATTTTGCCTTTTTTTTTTTGTCTTTGTTAGGGACAACATGACAGCCGTTCGTTAGGTTGAAGATATTCTTCAGTGATCAATTTATTTTGATTCAAACTGGAAGGCGGTAATATCATAATATCATATTTTTGTAATTTGAAAAAAAAGCACGAATGGTTTAATTAAATCAGTGCTTTTTTTTATCATTTGGTTTAAATAAGGTCAACCTTGGTTGGAACAGTGGAGCATTCCACGAAAAACCGGAACTTCCAACAATTTTTTAAAATTTTGTCTGGAAAACATCGTAGTCGAAGATGTTATACTAGTTATGTCTATCATGAGAGCCAATGTTTTATTCATGCAGGACGTCATCCGCGCGTGGCCAGGCAGGTTATCGACTACTTGAATGTCGTTGATGTTCCGTTAATGGTATAACCAGCTAGTCGTTTTTAGTTAAATCCTTTCGAGCATCTATGGAACGATGTTAAAAGAAAAGTTCGAAATCGTACATCCTTACCTGTCAACTAGAATCACCTGTTGAATGCAGTAATTATAGAATGGGGGATTATTCCCCAAGGAACTATTGAAAATTTAATCTCGAGTATCTCCAGATTGATTTTTTCATTATTTTTTTTATGACGCTTGATTCTTGTCAGGGAATCGTACATTACTAACTTTATCAGGTAAAATTATTACACTTAAAATATCTAGAGAATTTTAGGGGTTAGTACATTTTGAGTCATTTTTACTATATCTTTGAATAGTAAATTGCGTCAATTGATTGACCTCAACTCTATAATAGAAACAAAAGTGGGACTCAACATACAGTTATTTTATTATTCAATATTATTTAACATTCTAAGGTCACAATAATGAATGTGGGATTCCATTCTTCTTAAGGGTGCCCAGTAGCAGACCGAAAAATGAGCTAAATAGAATTTCATTTTACGGACGTAATTTCAACTTTGAAAAAAAAGATAGACATTTCAATTGATAGATTATGTCTAATTCTCTGGGGAAGAAACAATATTTTTTAAAATAAGTGATTGTTTAGTGTTTAATTAATGGTTCATTCTTCGAAGGAAATTGCATTTTTAGACGAGGAGAGAACATTTTTCGCTTCAACTTTTGTATTAGTGCAAAGACAACATTGAGCTCTATGGGGAAGACCCGGTCATTTTTGTTTAAAATTTATATTTATCAAAATATTTGCTTTTTAAACAAATACTGAATATACAAGTCGATTTCTTTCATTGCTGACATAATTTGATTTAAAAGTATGCAATTTTTTTAAATTTTATATATTCTATTAAAATATTTTCTTTCAAAAAATTATTCAAATACTTTTTATTAATCTGTCATTTTATATATTAATCAACAAACAAAACTGACAAGATTTAGATTCTCATCACTTCACTAACCACTTATTTACCTGAACAATCATATTTATTTAAATTTAATTTTTTGATACTCTTTTCCGCACCACTATGAGGTAGAGTATTATAGGCACGTTTTTTACGTGGTATCTCCAGTAAACCTATTCCAATATTACTATTTATTCCTGTGTGTGTTTATACTAGAAGGGCAAAAGATTTATATGAACTACACATGACGCGAATGCAAATAAAAAATTTTAATTGTACAATTTTTTCGTTACAATTTGTCTAATGGGTTGACTTGTTTAATAACGAGAATCCACTCTCTCCGGAAGTAAGGCATATAAATAAAATTTTTCTAGGGCTCTATCATATTATTTTCCTAAAATTTATCATCTCGTTGAATTAAGCATTATTTAAATTGGACATTTTATATATTTCTACGATAGCGTTTTTGTTTATTAAGCCGTCTGGCGATGCCGCTAAAAATGTTTTTTACAGTACAGTAAGTTACTTTTTCTCTCATTTTGCAAATTTTACCAAAATAACGTTCGGTTAGTCTAAAGGATTTTTCTGCGCACCGTTCTGGATTATTGCGTTCGCCAATTGTGTTTTGTTCGATTAAAAAGACATCGACGTTTGAAAGTTTTTTGAGAAATATTTTTTGCGCTGTGACATATCAGGAATTTCAACTGCCTCGTTAGATACATCGTCGCCCGAGAACTGGTATGATCCACAGACCGGAGCGCGTTCAGGCCAATGTCGACTCTATAAGCCTCCAAAAATTTTGCGGG